CTTTAGTCTCGACTAAGTCTGCGCCTTTTTGTGAAACGCTACTTAGTCCGATTTTGGGGTTTAGTCACTGACTTAGTCCGGACTAAGCTTACGCCTGGTCGTAGGCCTTTTTGAGAAACGAGCCCCAGCTTTTCCATTGTCAATTTTCCTTATTATTGTAGTAATATTCAACTGTCATCTGCAAATGGTGTTCATGTCTCCCAACTTATTCGATGGAAGTACGATCAATTTTTAAAAAGAGACAAGCTATTGACAGATAAGTTGATGTTACAAGGATTTCAAAAACCTCGTTTAAAGTCAGCATTTCGTAAATTCTAAGGTCGTTATAATGTCCTTATTATCAAATATAACCTTTTATTAATAGTATGAAAAATAATCTCACAAATAACATAAAAATAGAGAATATGAAGAAAAAATTATGGATTAAGATTCTTATACTATGCGCATGTAAGTCGAAACACATATTAATCAAAATATACATCCATAAACAATTTTAACTTTCAGTTTCTGTGTGTCAACAATCGATTAATCACATAATTTCTTTAAAATTTTCAATCGTTGGACATTAATATTTATTTCCTCTTCCGACAAGATTTAAAAATAAGAACTCCATTGAAATGTTATTATTCATTTGGGAGTTAACTCAGATAAGATTCAGATTAAAATTATTCTGCAGTTTCTGAAAGAACATCAATTATAACTTAAAATATTCGCTCATTTATAGTTTTTGCACATTTCTAATAGCCTTTTGTTCTGGCACAATCTCAGAACATATCACTTCTCATTTACCTGAAGCTATTTTTACTGACCATAAAAAATGCTGTTTATAAAATTTTGAAATGATGTATTGCATGATTATTGTTCAGACAATGTGATTAGAAAATTCATACTGCAGACACAAATATTAGTCGCGGTAAAACCTGAATGAATTTTCAATGGTCAAAGTATACATCCTTACGCTCATGTTACTAACGGCCTATAATCCTGACATTAGAGATGATAATGCACGACAAAAGGAACCATTCCTTTGTTTATCGTTCTTTTGGATAATGACTGAAATTAGCTCAACGTTTCAAACTACAGTTCATTATTTCTACATGAGATCCAACGATTGACACGGCCGTAACAAAATAACATAAAAGGGGAGAAGAAAAGAAATCACCAAGAAAGCATAAAATAAAGAAGATCAATCCAGAGGCTGCTCCTGTCTGTCTTCCTTGTTGGAACCTTATCAAGGATTAAGTAGGGAATGGATGAAGTTTCTTGCAGATTAAAAGCCATCTCGTTCCAACAGAAATAAAAAAGCGCGTTTCCATTTCGTCAATATGTCTAATGTTTGTTTATTTGTATGATAAAGGAAATAGATTTCCCTATGATAATATTGCTGCTAGATTAAATCTCTTTTGAATTGCTCGTAAGAAGTGAAAGTAAACCTTTTCATTTTTATATCGAAGACAAGATTTTTCTCGATCTTCCTGTGAAAATGCTAAGGAAAAGGATGTAGCTTGTCATAAGATAATGTGAAAAAAGTTCACAATTGATATAAACTTATTTTTAGATTTTACATGATTAAGTTTTAGTAAATATTCAACAGAAAATATGTACGATTTTCGTTTGATTGATTTATTTAGAATTGCAGCTCAGAAGCACTTTTACGCCTGTTGTAGCTAGTTTTCGCGCTGAATTAATTCATCTTACGGATAAAGAAAATTCGAATGTAATATGGCTTGCTGATGTGAACAAACAAACTTCAGTGCTAAAATTCAACGGTAAAATCATGACAAATCTTACATTATTATAAACAGTTCCTATTCATCAACTCTTAGAGAAACGATAGACATTAGAGTTGTATTTTATTTCAAAAAGAACCAGTACTTTGGAAATAATTAGTCTACCAAAAAATTAACTTTCTTCAGATTTAAAGATTTAAAAGAAGCTTGACATTTCAAGATTAAAAAAAGGTAGAGATGATAGATTGCATACATTACTATCCATAACCCTTTACACAAACATTTACTAGTAAATGACTTAAGGTTCATTAATCAGTTTTTTCTCCCATGCAAATTTAACAGCCGTGTCTGCAATATGCCACCATGTGACATCAAAAACTTATTAATGAACATAGATTATTTATCAAAATTATTCTGCTCTAAGAAAGAATGCTTGGACGTTGGTTTCACATGCAGCTACCAATCTTCTACATGTAAATAGTAGTTATATTTTTGCAAACTTGTATATCAAAATAGGAAAAATTGTGGGCCTTCGAAAAATACGTAACGTACTTAGTTCTTTCCTGTTGTGTAACTACTGCGCGCAGCAGCGATTCGTCTTAAAAATGAGTTGCAGGACGTTGATTTTCTGCTCGAAAACATTTAACAAAACATTTAATTTAAGTATATCATTTTGACTAATTCAGAGATAAAATGACGATGTGACTTTAATGGTTTGGAAGAGCTCCACTCCATCCCAACCCCACCCCATCTTGTTTGGGACGGAGTAAGGAGTAGTAAATCTTTATAGAATAATTCCTATCTATGACTTTTAAATATAAATGAGCGCTTAAGTTTTTTTTCCTCTTTTTTGAGAGAGACAGAGGAGATCTGAAATACGAATTTCTAAATTCAAATAGAAAAGGATAAAGTATCTTTGGTTTTTATTTCTTCTAATAATTATAATAGAAAGAATAATCCCCAGAAGAATACATTGTCATCAACCTCAAAAAATCTAAAACACCTCATATATACTTAATAATCAATATCTTACGATCGTTTTTTTTAACTCTTTTTTATTTTGATTTTCTGATTTTTGACCAAATAAACTGATAAAAATATAACATTATATCTGACCTTGAATTAAGTATCAGGCTTACTAAGGACAAATGTACAACTTAAGATTAGATCTTTAAAAGTGCATGAGTTAATGGTTTCTATCAAGGTTTCACGTTCTTCAATATTTATGAACGAACTGTTTATTCAACCACAAGAAAAGATTTCTGTAATGTTTTTTCCTCTACAAAGACTACAGGAAGAGAGATAACAACGAGATATAATACCATCCATAAAATCTTTAACGTCTTAACGTTCTTGTCACTTAATACAAGTAAACTGAAGCTTTTTATTTCTATAATGCTGTATTTAAAAGCAATTACAATGTTAAACAAAAAATTCTGGTTTGAATGAAATAACTGGCTTAGTTTTTGAGAGGGCCTAAGCTCAGATTAGAAATAATTATAAAGGTAATGGGGGAACAAGGCATGCAGAATGCCTATAAAGTTTCAGATGAAAAATATGAAGATAACGAATAGTATTCAAGCTCAAAAATCTATTCAAATCAGGAGCAGAGCAAACACGGACCTCTTAAACATCAGGGATGGGATCAGATGCCATGGAGGAGTGAGCATTTCCTGTCGACCTTTCACACCCGCCGCGTGTGCTATATATATATATATATATATATATATATATATATATATATATATATATATATATATATATATATATACATGTAAGTATGAGAGTTCCAATATTAAGTTATCATCAGTTCCCTACTCCCTTATTTATAATTTCAGAAAATAATAACCTATCTGAAAGCTAGTTCTCCTAAGTTGGGACTGCCCATATTGTGGCGAACTTTTCTCTAGATTCCATTTGAACCAAGTCAGTCCAAGTGTCAAAATAACTGTCGAGCTGTTGAGGAAAAAACCTTTAAAAACCTTCTGCTGAAGAATGACAAGTTAGAGTCATGATCAGTCATATTGATATGGAATCATCCTCTGGTAGTGTAGATTCAGATTTGTTCAAATGATGATCCCCGAGGGTAAGGTGGGGACACAGTGGGGTATCAAAGTTTAACATAGGAATATATAGGAAAAAAATTTTAAAAAACCTTCTGCTCAAAGACAACAGAGCCATGATTAGACATATTAATATGGAAGCATCCTCAGATAGTTTTGATTCAAGTTTGTTTAAATTATGACCCCAGGGCGTAGGGAGGGGTCACAATGAGGGACTTAATTTTTACAATTGAATATAGAGGAAAAAAATCTGTTATAAATCTTTTATAATCTTCTGCTCTCAAAAAAGAAAAATTATTAGTTATCTTGATATGGAAATATCCTTAAGTAGTGTAAAATTCAAGTGTGTTACCCACCCCATGTAAACTTTTCAATGCTGAACTGATTTGTGCTTTTTTCTAGCCAATATGCTAAGGTGAGCGATGCGGATCATGGGCCTCTTTTTTTAACTGGCTTTGAACTTTTACAAATTAAGATAAAAACATATCTGTAAAATTGCAAAAGGACATGATATACAATATTATTAATCATGTTTAAATGTATACATTTTTTTCTATAATGAATATACTTGTTCCAGGGCTAATTTATATAGTTTTGCTTTAAACCAGTTTTCCAAATTTTCTAATAATACCTGCCAATTATAAAAATCCTCTAGTTCTTTTATAACAATATAAAGATTTTTTTATAATATAATTTTTCCTAACATTTTTCAGAAGACCATGAAATTTAAATTACATTCAGTATTTTCTTGTGCACTTCTAATGGTATGAACATAGCATTTTGCTAGCAATATACAGTAATGTACAATGACACTATGTATCAAAGAATCGGTGAAAGTTTCATAAAATTTCATTCAATGGTATAAGAGCAGTTGCGGATAAGAGATGGATACCGGATGGACGGATGTACCCACAGACGGACGGACAAACGGACACCACCATCAGTTTTTTGAACTTATGGAATAGTTTAAATTTATATGTGATATTTGGAATTTGTACAAAAACTTATATGTTATAAGCCTACATTTTGCGTCCCCCTAACTTCACTTCCTGGATCCGCGCCTGGAAATAAAACCATGCTGTAAAGATTTGATCTATTACCTGTACACAATGCATCTTACATCTATCATTACTTACGATAACTTGTCAATGCTGTGTTTTAATTTGTAAAAAGATAACAAATCGTGAAGTCGCCATTTGTAAACAATCTCTATATTCATGAGATCACCATAAAAAAAAACACAAAATCGATTGGTTATTTCCTTTCACGTGGTGCGTATGATATACAATGGCGGATTTCTAGCAGAAAAGGATAGTATTATTTGGATAAACAACTCATGTTACAATTTTCACATCATGCTCCTGACAGGTAATTCTAAATGCAGTACTTCATTTACATTTAGATAATGGGTAAAAAAAATTATATATATTAGAGGTTTCAGTGAAAAGACTGTGAATCAATAAAAGTATTCCGTCTACATTTATATTTATGAATACTATTCATAATGCCGAGTGCAAATACCTTGATACTAATTTCCCTTGCAGTATGGCTATGAAATGCTTGGGTTTGCTTACTTGGCCTCAAAGTTAACCACTACAAAAGTATATAGTTCTTAAAAGGAAGTAGCAATTGTCAGATATTAAGAGCATCGTGAGCACAAAACTGATAATGATCTACATATACACTAATGCGCGGACACTTGAAGCTAATATTGATTATGTGCATACACACTATTTACATAAACTTAATTTTAATGCCAGTAATTTTAATGTACTAGTACGAGAGATTAAACCTGGTTCCCTGAGCCCCTTACACTTTATACAGTAGCCAAATCATCTTTTATAATATTTGATTGGAAGTGTCCAGTAGGTGTGTAATGAAATTTTGGAAATTTTATTTTCATCAAGGAGGCTTATCGAAAAATTAAATCCTTTTTTTTAAAATCCTTTCCAAAACTACTTCTTTAACAGGAGTAATGCTTCAGTAATTTCAGACTGGTGATGAAATTCTTATTATTTGAAATACTAATTTAAGAGGTCCATGGGCCACATGCTTACCTAAGCATTTTTGTTCAATTCGATGTGTTGTATATTTATGTAAATTATGGAATACGATATTGTGGCATCTTACCCAGATATGAAAATGAGTAAAATTAGAGGCAACCACTTTTATGAGCGGGTATCACTGTCATACAATCTAGTTCTTATTGCAGGTAATTAGGAGAAATCTATTTGTTGATTCTACTGAGAAACATGACTAGATTTCTCAAGGAAGAGATACACCTTTTTATCCTGACCCATGGGGAAGAGGAAGAAGTTTCTAATTGGGTCTGCGAACTTGTAACAGCGTTACAAAGTAAAAACATCCATTGTGTGAAAGAAGAGGATTACGCCATGGTCGGAGAAAACGTGTACTGCTCGTTAGAACGATCAATTAACTCATCGAGAAATGTAATGGTTGTCATATCCCCAGGATTTCTAAGGAAAGCAGACTTAACTGAAAGATTAAACCTTGCTTTTAAACAAACAATTGAAAGAGAAATTCCACTTATACCAGTTCTTAGTGTAAATATACCAGTCACTCCCTACATTCTGTCCACCACAGTGTGTATGTATGTGGATTTCTCTAGAAATTTATTGCAGGAAGATGTTAAAAAGATAGAGAGATCACTCAGAAGAAAGGAAGAGAAAGGAACAACCAAGGAGGAGATCGATCAGATTCTTTTATCTCTTGACAAGGCGATAGACCAAGCACCATTCCATGTGTTATCAGCTGTAAGAAGTACACCAAGATTTAAAAAACTTTGTCAATTTTTTAGTGGTTCAAAGAAACGAAATCGTTCAAATTTTGAAGAAAAAGAAAATGGTTTTCTTGTTACGATAAGACGAACTTTGTCGGATACATCTGGTATGTATCAGCTCAAAGAACTGTATTCGAGAGTTGGTTCACAGAACAAACTAAAGAGTTCTAAGCCCCGCAGAAGTCATTCGTTTGGACACAGAGTTGATATTTCAAAGAAAACTGTGATCATGAATTTAGGATCTGTATGAAGGAAAGTTGGAGATTGTGCTGGATTTATGTTGTATCAACAATAATATGAAAAATTGGATTTATTTGCTTGTAGAATATGCTTAAGTGCTCGACTGTTCAGAGAATCGGTGCTATTGTTCATCCTTGAATAGAGTATACATTGTCAATAAACTTTCTGCTATGATGTTGATCATGATGGGTTCTATTATATAATCATTATAGCAATGATATTCAATGAATTTATGTAAAACAAAATTATTTCACACACTTGAAAGACATAACATGTGCAACGGTTGATCCAAAAGATTAGTGATAAGTGCCATAAAATCGATAAGGACGTCCCAATTTATTTACCGTACGGTTACCTGAGGAGAGGGAGTGGTCTAAGTAGTACTGGTGTTATTTACCTTGAGATCCCCAATACTCAAGATGTCAAAAATACATATACACATTGCATTACCAAGGAAGTCTGTCTTTGGTAAATAGAGTCAACGTTATACACACGTTTCTTGTCTAATTTTGAGTGAAACCAAATAATTAATATACTTTAATATAAAATTGGTCACCTCAACGTTTTCATTAGTATCTTTAGAGAAAGTTATTCATAAAGAAGTATCATATATATATATATATATATATATATATATATATATATATATATATATATATATATATATATATATATATATATATATATATATTAGGGATGTCAAAATATTTATTTTCCTTAGTCGATTATTCGATTGCATTAATCGAAAGATAGTTGAATATTCGGAACATTTTCTGAAAATATAATTTTATTTCAAACTTCACTGGTACATGACGTATTTAGAACTCAAAAACCCTTAATCTGTTTAAAAAGTAAGAAAAATTAATGCAGCGTAGTGTTGGATAACAAGATTATGTGAAATAAATTTAAAAATCTAATTTTGCTAAATTCATGATTTCCCCATCAATCGAATTCATAAATTGGTCTGTACATGCAGTTATTTTTTATTTTAGTGAGCATTCAAAATTTGCTAGCCGATATTTTTTAAAGCTTATTATGAAATAAATTAAGGGGGGGGGGGTTAATCTCACACTATCAAAAGCCAGGTGGCCTTTAAATTGTTAAACAGATAGTTACTGCGTATTCATTTATTGATTCTTCTGGCTATTAAAATGTCCTTAATTATAAACAATTTAAAATGCAAGCGAATTGTTTTAATAATTATCGAAGCTTTAAAACATGTCACATGTTCCTTTTATATATATATATAGAGAGAGAGAGAGAGAGAGAGAGAGAGAGAGAGAGAGAGAGTGTGTGTGTGTGTGTGTGTGTGTGTGTGTGTAAAACTACAAAACAATCATGTCAATATTTTTTAATGGCCAGTAAAAGAAACATTCATATGGTGAGTGTAGATATTGAGAGAAAAAATCTATTGATAGTGTGGATGTTTACCATCGGGAAATTATTTACTTATCTGGTCAACACTGATGCATGAAATATATGGAGATAACGAACAATATTCAAGCTAAAAAGTCCATTAAAAAATATAAAATAGGATCAGAGCAAACACCGGCCTCCAAAACATCAGAGGCGGGAGGAGTGAGCATCCCCTGCCGACCGGTCACACCCGCCGTGTGCTTCTTGTCATGATCGGGAAATAACGGTAAAATCCGTCGACAATTCAGTTTGTAAATAATGGCCTAACAATTAGTATGAAAAACATCTGTCAGCATTTGACTCAATGATAAATTGTATTTGCTGACAAGGTCATTGTATCGACCATTGAACTTACGAAATGATGACTTTAAACGAGACTGCTGATATTCTTGTTTCATCAACTTGTTTGTCAATAATTTACCTCGTTTTAGAAATTGTACATACGTAGAGCATACTCTTGCGTATCGAATCAACTGAGAGATATAAACCCCGTATGCAAGTGGTGAAGGTATATTGCTGCATAAGTAAGGGAAGTTGACGATTGAAAAGTTAAGGTCATCACGTTTATCATATAGCTTGGTTGTTAGGTTACCATTTCAAGTAAAATATCTAAATATGGAACAGATGTGTCAGATTCTGTGGTATCTTTTATCTCAAGCTCACCGGGATATATCGTATCGACATAAGAATGGAAATAACCATTGTTAATTGATAATACTTCGTCGATATATCTGAAAGTCGAGTTGAAGGCCACAGCAAGTGTTTTCTTCTTTTCACGTATAAGATTTTGGACAAATTCTGCTTCATATGAATACAAAAAAGGTCTGCTAATAAGGGGGCGCAATTGGTACCCATGGAAATTCCAATAGATTGTTGGAAGACCTGGTCTCCAAAAACCACATAGATTTGTCAATCAGAAACTCAAGCATCTTTTTAATGTCAACTTCAGTGTACTTGTGTGTACAATCACAATGTTTTTTTAACAAAGTAATTTTGCAAATGACCAATGACAAGGTAATTAAATTACGAGTTTCATTTTTATTGAAAAAGCAGTTGTCAATGAAATCAAAAGGCTTGGACTTTAATTTATAAAATGCCCGAATATAGACCATAGAGGAAATTCCAACTATGATTGTGACAATACTTTCACTGCATGGTGTAGATCGTTTTATTTTTGTCTTATTTTTTCTTATTTTTGGTACTGAAAGAAGTTGGAACCCCCCCCCCCCACCCCCCCACCCCACCCCACGAAATAGGATTTTCAAGTTCGGACAATTTTCAATTTTCCTTTTTTTCAAGTTCGGACAATTTTCAATTTTACTCCTTTTTTTTGCTTGTCAATTTTTTTGCGGGTAAGTTGATTTTTTTTCTCTGGCTGGCCCCTCCCCCCCCTTTCCAAAACGATGCTACGTCCCTGATGGCATCCCCCAAAAATGCAATTTAAAGATAACCTAACCCACTTTATTAAATGGTTAAATTCTATACTAAAATAGCACTTTCAGGAGGTCGATCCATAGATATATTGACTTCACAGAGAATTATATCGACCGAGCACGAGGTGCTTTTCTGTGAAGTCTATATATCTATGGATTGACCGAATGAAAGGGCAATATGTGTTATATTATTTTTTAGAGTAATTGACAAAACAAAATTTGAATATAATGGGAACAAGCCACAGATTTTCTTTTTTGTCTTTTTTTAACACATGGAGTCTGGAGATCCAAATAAATTAAGCTGTTTAATGTAATTGTCTTTCCTTTATACTGATAATTTAGGAAATTAACTAGTTTAAACCGGTAAATATACCAGAAAAGAAAAACATATTTAATATGTTTTAATATAAAGGAGTTCTTTATTCAAGGCCTTGTTACTTCTTACCAATTATTACAGAATACAGGTGTGGAAGCATTTTATAGAAACATCAAGTCATACATGGTATTAGCTTTTCTGAAGTCAGCACTATTCTTGTTTTATAGAAGATTATTTCCATTTTTAGAAAGATCAAGTTGATATGCATTTCAGAATCTTTAAATAGTAACGCAGGACTATATGCTGTTATATACTTGATCATATGATCAAGTTTGAGCCAATCAGAGAGCTTGGAATAAATGAGAAAAAAATATTGATTTATTTATTGAATAAAAGTTATATTCTCTCACAGTGTGAAAGGATACTAAAGTGATATTCTCTCATAGTGGGAAAGGATATCAAAGTAAAATATAATTTCTGGCATGTAATAAGATTGAGATAGTAACTAAATCATCTTGATACAGACTAAAACTGCCAATTTCCTCCCAAATATGTTGCTAAAATCCATGTTACAATGTTTTCAATCTCATAACTGCTAAGCTATGACGTCTCAACTGCTCCACTATGACTTCCCAGCCTATGACACTGTGTTAGGGTGTTAGGAAAAAACGGATGCAAAGGATTGATTGATTGATTGTATGTATGTATGTTTTTTAACGTCCCATTCGAGAATTTTTCACTCATATGGAGACGTCACCATATATATCGGTGAAGGGCTTCAAATTTTGACCTTTACTCGGCACTCAGGGCCATTGAGCAGTGAGGGATCTTTATCGTACCAACGCCTGCTGTGACACGGGACCTTGGTTTTTAAGGTCTCATCCGAAGGACCCGCAACTTTCACTTCAAAGTGCCGAGCGTATGGCGAAGGAACAGTTGCTACCCATTTTTATCGACTTAGATCAGTCGCGGCCGAGATTCGAACTCACGACCTCCCGATCACGGAGCGAGCGGTCTACCTACTGAGCTACCATGAACGCTCGTGTTTCGCACTCGTCCAAATATAAAAAAAAAATCCTGTTGCATTCATGAAATATATTCCACATCCACAAGCACACATTCACAAGCATTGAATATCCTCTATGTCCTCAATGTCGCGGGTTCGAATCCCTCTGTGGGACATGGAGATTGGTCTTTCGGATGACATCGTATAAACGGAGATTCCGTGTCGCAATAGGTGCTGTCAAGAAAAAGATCAAATGCGCAATCGCCCTAGCCCCTGAGTACCAAGTATAGGTCTAAATTTGCAGTCCTCAACCGGCAAGTGATGGCGTCTCTATGTGAGCGAAGATGTAAAACAACAAACAAACGTTCATTTGTGCATGCATTTGGTGTAGCATCAGATGAAAGAGTATTCTTCCTCGCCTCTGTTGAATTGTTGAAAAGATTGATACCTGTTATTTGGGGTAGACTTTACTTTACCGGTCCCCAGATCCGCAAGATCAACGCGCTCATTGCACTATGACGTAAGATTTACGTCACTCAACTGATTAGGGTTGGTTTTGCACATTTTTCGACTGGTTAGGGTTAGTCTTGCACCCACCTGAAAGATTAGGGTTAGTCCTTGCATAAGTTTTCGACTGATTAGGGTTAGTCTCGCATATATCCCAGAGATTAGGGTTAGTCCTCGCACATGGGTTAGTCTAGCATGGTCTAGCATCAGCCTGGGAGATTTGGGTTAGTCCTCGCATACCATCCGAGAGATTAGGGTTAGTCCTCGCATACCATCCGAGAGATTAGGGTTAGTGTCTTGTTCCTTTAGATTAATTAAGAAATTCAGTTGCATCTGTATTTTTTGCAAGATCTTAATTCAGCTTCAACGACATCTCGTTGGTTTGTTTACATGAAAAAAATGGCTAAGTACGAAAGAAACGGCACTAAGCATGCGCCGCACGCGCTTCGTTCACAATTATTTTTTGTCTCCTTTTCACTGAATAAACAACATTTATTACTTTTTTTTTCAGAAAACGAGGTTAAAAACTTCGTTTATAAACGAAGTTTTAAACTAAACTTTTAACCGTAGAATTCGAATTTGGGGTCAAAAAGGCTTAAAACCTCATATTTTTTATTTTTTTCGATCGCTCACGCGATCTCATATATATTGAAGTCGCCTACGGCGACACTATATTTTAGCGCGTTTTTCTGGGGACCGATAAAGTAAAGTCGTTCCGTTATTTGGGTCACTACTTAACGTCAGACATTTTACTACAAATATGTGAAATAATAGACTTAATAAATATAAACATTATATGAAATGCCTTGTTAAAAGAAAGTCAACCAATAGACATGGAAGAAGAAAGTGTGTGGAGGGAAAGTCACCCACTCTTGCGTTTGGTGCTACACAAGATCAATACGCAGTGGAATAAATTTAAACAACAACTTAAAACCGTTAAAATAAATTTAAGGACATACGCAACGTACCATACCTACTGGTAATTTTTCAAGATATTCTTAATTTAAGATTATAGTGCCATCAGATGTTCGTAGACAAAAAATCAGCATGCATTACCAGGGGTTTTGAAACGATATCAATAGATGAAAATTCTTGTATACAAACAAAGAAAAATACACAAAAATTTCTAAATATATATTTTAGATGTTTTGTTTATCCAAACTTGTGTTAGAAGAAATGTACAACAGCACATATAGACATTAAAATGTAGCACACATTTCCTTTAATTTTTGGAACTCTTCAACTCCAGGAAAAAGGACAATAAAGGTCAAACTACGTTGGGTATGTCCTTAATAAAATAACACAAAGCAAAACTCTAAAGCGCTAGTTGACAGTTAATATTTTTGAAAAATCAGTGATCGAGATTTCATACATTCTTGAATTAATTGCGACGATAGACGTAACCTTTGTGTTTATTTTTATACTAAAAAAATATTTTTAAATATCTGAATGATTGTTAGATTACAGTCAAAATAGACAGAGGCAAAAGAATGTATATTAATATATTACTTGAAGACTTTCCATTATTAAAGATTTTATAATGCTCGTGAAATTACTTTTGGATCAACCCTCATACAAATGTATCCACAAAGTGAGAAATTAGCATTTACTGCCACTTTATAAATGATAAAAGATAATTAAACCTAAAAAATAAAATTTACTCTAGTCTATAATGTTGCTCAAATATACAATACACTAAATTGTATCTTTCGTTATTGATTTATACAATCAAACTCCACAAAACACTAAATTTTAGAGTGATAATCAGAAAAAGGAGATATTCAGTTATCAAGAGGTATATGTTTTTTAGCCTAATTTATTCTGGATTTCTCCCATAACTCTTAAGAATGTAATAAAAGAGACATAATACAGGCAATTAACATATTAAAAATATACCGGTATATTACATAGAAATATTACATATACATGTATGTACTATGTCATTCGTTGCAGTATTTCGAAACGCATTCATCGTTTGATCCCTTTGAGTATTTTTCACTCATATTAGCAGACCTATTTTTGTATTCATATGAATCAGAATTTATTAAAAAACTTCTACATGAGAAGAAAACACTTGCTGTGACCTTCAACTCGACATTTCGATATATAGACGACGTATTTTCAATTAACAATAGTTACTTTCATTCATATGTCAACTTAATATATCACAGTGAGCTTGAAATAAAAGATACCAAAGATTCTGACACATCTGTTTCATATTTAGATATTTTACTAGAAAAAGACGTTAATGGTAACCTAACAACAAAACTTTATGATAAACGTGATGACTTCAACTTTTCAATCGTCAACTTCTCTTACTTATGTAGCAATATACCCTTATCACCTGCATATGGGGTTTATGTCTCTCAGTTGATTCGATACGCAATAGCATGCTCTAAGTATGAACAATTTCTATAACGAGACAAGCTATGTTGTCAGACAAGTTGACGAAACAAGGATATCAACAGTCTCGTTTGAAGTCATCTTTTCGCTAGTTTTCGGTCGATACAATGACCTTGTCAGCACATACAACCTATCACTGAGTCAAATGCTGACTGACGTTTTCATACTAATTGTTAGGCCATTATTAATATATACTGAACTGCCTACGGATTTTTCCGGGTTTTGTTTCCCGATCATGACAAGGAGCACACGGCGGGTGTGACCGGTCGGCAGGGGATACTCACTCCTCCATGGCACCTGATCCCACCTCTAAATTTTGAGGTCCATGTTTGCTCAGCTCCAAATTTGTATCGTTTCATTGGACTTTCGAGATTGAATATTGTTCGTTATCTTCATATTTCATTGATATGCCACCATTTGCCGTAAGGGGGCTGAAAATTTAAAACCGTACTCAGCTCTTACCTTTGACATGGGACCTTGGTTTATACAGTCTTATCAGAAGGATCGGTCTCCGCGTCCCATAGTGGGATTCGAACCCACGAGATAAGGATCAACTCCTTACTCCGCGACTCTAGAGCAAACGCTCTAGTCAGTGCGCCATGCAGACAACCGCAGTCATTGTTCATTGCAGTTTTATGTAAAAGTCCATGAAACTAAGTTTATTGTATTTACCTAACAGAATATTTGGATATTGTTCCTGTGTACCTTTGTGATGCCTTCAGTTTGTCACAATAGAAATGGACATGACGAGATAGAATGTGTTCTGTGGACAATTTCAGAAGAGTCGAATTAAATAAAGAAAATATATTTTAATGTGCAACATATTTCATTTCGGTAAATAAAACTAGTAACTTTTATCTTTCCTTCTCATCTCTACTTTTTATACTAGAATATTCAAATGTAAAAGTCCCACTCTCAATATACATGAAGTCAACTGATACTACAGTGAAAATTTCAGGAAAATTTCAAGGTAAACAAAATAATTTGAAATACAAGGAGAGCAAGCAGAAAGAAAAATTGTACATAAACACACCAAAGATCAATCTTAATATAGTAAAAATAACATAAATGGGATAGGAATCTTCAGATTGCAGTTTATATACGTACACATTGCGGTTTGTACATTAAACCTATTTGCTACTTGTTTCTTTGTCAGTATCTTTTTGATCACTAAAATGATCAGAATTCAAATCATCTTTACTTTTAAAAATTCTCTTGACAACCTCTGCCTGTTTCTGCAGACCAATACTACTCATTGCCTTTGTCAACTGCTCTAGTCTCGCCTCTGGTTTCAGGTAAGATTTCACTCGCCTCGCCCAAAACTTAATAAAGAAAAACTGGAGTTCCTCTTCGTTTTCTTTGTACTCTTTTTTTAGTCTGTTAATATCCTCTGATCGAATGCAGAGATGAATTCCAAATGGGACCAACTTGTTCACGGGAATCTGATTGGCGATGGCAAGCAAGTTTTTTTCGTTGTCAAACCAATCTTTTGAAGAAAAATCAAAATCATTAACATAAAAAAACCCTCTGATTTGTTCGAAGATATGGAAATATATTTAAAATGTATACCTCTTACACATTGTGCAGCCGTGTTTAATCCATTATTGACCTGTAGCCGTACTTTCCTTGGACTTCTGGGTGTTTTCGTTGGTCCGGGGTCTGTGTGGGCAGTCTTGGATGTATTTGGTCGATTATAAATGGCAATGTCAGTGTAATACTTCTTCAGAGCTGATGCACTTTTAACCCAAGGATCAAAGTGAACACTGTGAAGAAGTTGCTTCTTTTGGTTGTCTGCAGAGAAGTTGATGACAGCGTAAGGAACGGAGCCCATTCGGATATTCTTTTGGAGAGGAAAATAGATATGATTGTCTTCTGCTACAGGAATAAACGTCAACAAATAAAATGACTTAGGAATTTCACGAACGAACTGGACTGATCCATTCACATCAATTCGAATCCTTTGACCTTCACGCACAAAAATATCTTTTGAATGACTACAATCAATTTCTTCCAGGTCGTGGTCTTTGATTCTTTTCTCCGCGACAGTTCTTGCCATTTCACGTTTAGCACATTCGCACCAAAGAGATAACATATCCTCTTTCCGTCTTTTGATAAAGATGAGCAAGGTACATGTATGGATCATTCCGTAGACAAGGTAAGGTTCCAAAGGGGACATTTTAGCATTCCTTCTGACGAGTGCACATGACACACTATGTAGAAAACAAAAAGTCGAAGATAATTAATTAGACGATTAATAATATGAGTTTAATGCTGCAATTAAACATTTCTTTAAAAATTTCTTTTAATCGTTATGATCATCATATGTGTAATAATTGGAAAGGAAAATACCCGCTGAAATGGTCAACCTCGACTAAATAATTTCCATTTTTCCTTTTGATATTTTTTCCAGATGCTCTCTTCGCAATTCCATTTTCCCAGTAAAAGAAAGCAAGCTCATAGTTAGGATCGTCCGGATCAACGGATATGACGTTGTCCATGGTAAACTGTACTTCCATCGTTTTCTGAAATCTGTCCACGGTGTGGTCAACAAGTATACATTTGGACATTGCTAGAATGTCGTATATTTCTGGGTGTGTCTCCAAACGACTTTTCATATCTGTTTTTGCTACTGGTATCAACTGTAAAAAAGAAGATTTTGTTGAAGGAAGGACACCACCACTTAATAAAGTAGAGTCTATTTTTTTCAATGGCAAAGAATCTACTCAAAATTTATTTTACCTCATTTTTGACCTTTGGAATCATAAAAGGGACTTGCCTGTACTTTAATGTCTTCATTTTTATTTACTGTTCCTGCTGGAAAGTCAATATAGAGACTGGCATCATCTTCTGGAACAAACCTGTAGCCCTCTGGAGTAAGAATGCATCTCTCAATCTTAGGTGAAGCAATAATACATAGAGAGTATACACTGCAACAGCTGAAAGCGACATAACCAGCCTACGGTATAAAAGAAAGAGTCTAAAGTGAACCCCCTAGTGAAATAGAAAACAGTACATATCTGGAATATATTTCAGTTCTGTTTTGGCTATATTACCTCATCTAATTGTACATCAATAGAAATCCATTTTTTCTTTGTCTTTATCTTAGCACAGAGATTGAAGGAGGACTCTCTATTGTAATTCTTCAAAGAAACTTTGAATGTAATATCATTCACGTAGGATTCAGGAACGTTAAAAACATCATAATCCATCCATCCAGACGTTTCTTCGCTTTCCATGTCCACATCCTGAAGCTTCATCAACACATCAGTGGGCACTAGAGAGTAAATGTCAGACTCAAATCTGTCTACAAAGTCAAGGTCTATTGTGTGCAACAAGGCAGATCGTTGTGCAGTAGTCCATGGAATGGCTTGAAATGCCTGGAGCTTAACAGCAAGACTTGATGGTAAAGTTAAACTGATGTCGTCACAAAGGTGCTTCGTAACAAACAGATCTCTGTATAAAAGATATAAAAATGTTCAACATACTTAAGTAACATTCTCATAATTGATCTCAAAATTGATCAATGTTCGCTACATTAATTTTACTCACACTACAACAGGTGAACATGTACGCTGATCTTTTTCTTCTGCTGTATTGATCTTTAGTGTCATGGCGTTTTCTGGTTCTTTCTTTAAAACATCCTCATTTTGTTTGACACTGATTGTATCATCATTTTCGGTCATTCCGGGGCCATCATTGTCAGGTAGGCTACCTTCCTCTCCGTGTGCTTGCATCTCCTCCAACACAGAATCCCAGTCCTGAAACTTGGCATAAACATCCTTGTCCTCCATTACCCTTAAGAACAAATAAAGTTACATAGAGAATAAATCAGCCATAAGGCATCATAACCATGTATCTGCCATCTTAACATTTCAGAAGTCCGACTCAAACTGTTCCCTTTTCGAAAGACGGTATTTTCATTTTTTTAAACATTAACAATGTGTTTATATGAAAATGAAAAAGGTGAAGATAAAGAACAGTGGTGGGATTCATAAACATACTTAAGATTTGTGCTAAGATTCACACTTAAGTATAAAATAAATTCTTGGGTAAGAAAAATTCTTAAATCATATTCATATAAATTCTAAATGCAATTCTTAGCTAAGTTTAATTCTGAGAAAATTAGAGCACTTAAGTTAGGTCACATTAGCTCCACATACAATTTCCCGAAAAAAAAGCGCACTCTTTTGAGATGGAGGTATTTAGTTCCATGTGTATAACACCACAACTGATATGTCCAGCCATGTCATCAACATTGCATATTTGCATCTTACTAGTTGATAAATATCTCATAGTCAAAAAGAGTTTCTTGTTAGATGATAGAGCATAGTTTCTTAAGGACAGACGATACGTTCCTCAATAATATATATTTTTTTCTCTAAGATTTTGTCTTTGAAGTATTGCTTCTTTAACATGTTCACTCGCAAAAAATTGAGGTACCTTACCAGGCATTTGTGCAAGATACCAGAGGATGCTGTTTCTTACAAAATCCTTTTGGAAAAAACTTAATTAGCCAATAACACATTTTTAAATGTTTCAAATTTTTGAAGACAATTAGAAACCAGTTTAGAAATCAGAAGGTAATTAAAATTTTGAATATTTTCCATACAATACGAAGATATAGATGTACAAAACAGATATTTGAGGAACGTATCGTCTGACCTTAAGTATTACTACCAAATTTAAGTAATACTTAGGAAACTTAAGTAAAAAATATATAACTTCAGTGACTTTTTAAACTTAAGAATATACAAAGAAGTTTTATGAATCCAAGCCCAGTTATTTATCTAAAAAAATAATCTACGAACAATACAAATCTGTGAACAGGCATAAAACACGGACCCCCAAAAATTCCAGAGGTGGGATAAGATTTTCTTGAAGAAAAACTGCTTGAAAATAAGCAGTTTTATACAATTATGCTAAAATGGCGGGAAAACGTGAACTTTATGATGTCATATTTCTAAATTAATGGCATTTTGATCAAATTGAAAATTACCAATAAAGGTCACATGTATAGCCGTGCAAATAAGAGCTACATGTAAAGTAAAATTAAGATACAGTGTATTAATTTTAAAAGGCCATTTGAGACACTTATCATATATTGCTCTTTAGTGAAAAAAAAACAAGGCCTAAACATTGGCTAAAATTTGCTAACAGTGATTTTAAAACATTTATCAAAGACTTAAATATTTCATTTAACATTGCAAACATTTTTCGAAAATACTTTTCCTGTAAATAACTTTCTCTTATTATATCCTTTCTTTTCTAATGGGATTGGGCATTTAATTAATGAAATATTTAATGTTATCTTTATATTAAGTGCAGATGAAGATATGAACTTGTCTGAATTGAATTCTTAACTCACGAAATACAAATCCTTGACTTATGTATGTAAATCATATACGGTACCAAAGTTGACTTTAAACGAGACTGTTGATATCCTTGTATTACACCTTATTTGTTAATTGTCATTAGCTTGTCTTGTTTTAGAAATTGTTCGTACGTTTAACATGCTCTTGCGTTTCAAATCAACTGTGGGACATAATCATATGAGGTGATATACAATGGTAAGATCTGATATAAATGACTTTCACACCATTTTTTTTCTATTTTTACAGGCTCTGCTTATTAATGTAAATCATATAAGGTCAATCATTTCTTTCCAAGGACAAATTTCTTATGAGTCTTTTCAATTTGTGATTCAAAATGCTCTTTGGATATGTAGTAACTGGTACAATGTACATGTATATGCCTCTTACAGGATCGTAAATGAAACAGCGACCTTTTTTCACTATAATGGATTTGTGATTTTATTATTCTAAAATTCAGTGAATTGATCAAGAGTCTGTCTTTAAAAATAATTCATTGGTTAAAAAAACAAAGTAACTCGGAACTCAAACTTGTGCCGAAAATGGAACCTTTATTTGTTTTGCATATTGATTAAAGCTTTATATTAAAATTTAAAAAATCACATTCATTCAATTGTGATTACACTAAAGTTCATGTCACATAACTTAGAAAAAAAAACTTAAGGGGAAAACATTTTCAAAACCAAACAAAATGATGTTATCATAACATTTATGAAAAAGTTGTGTTAAAATTCCATATAAAATCACTTCATTATAGCATTTAAGAAAAACGTTTTCACAACAATTAAAGAAAATGTCCTTAGTATAATTGCTGATTTTTTTTTTTTTTTTACTAAATGTTTTAAAACATTTTAAAAATATACAAAATCGCATGATTCAAACTTTTCAAAAATGTTTTTGAAACATGTTTGAACATAATTTTTTGTTTGTGTGCAAACTAGGAAGCAATTCGTCGTATTCTGTAAATCGTATACGTATACTTATACATCAAAAAAAAAATTTTATAATTGCCAAAATGATGTACAAAAACATGGAGAACCATATAAATGTAGATAATACTTCACATACGGGTCCACGGTCTCCTCTGTTTCTTCCGATGAGGTTTCCTCCAGTTCCTGTCTGAAGCCTTCGTTTATCTCTAGTTTAGATTCTTCTTTACTGCAATATACGAAACGACATAAACTAAACCAAAAATTAAATAAAAGCAACTGGGTAGGACTTTTTAATTTCCTCACCATATAAATTCCTGTAAATTTTGTATACTTACCTATCCAATTTCTCCAGATATCCGTGAGTTTTTGGAACGTTTTTGATTATTCTCCCGGCCATTTTTCTTCAAAGAATACGCGCGATTTGGCTTGTAATACAAAAAGTAAAGAATGATGCATTAAATAATCTTAAAGGTTTTTAGTAGTAAATTGCAGCATTTAGCTGAAAAATATTCATTTATACATGTACTGCGCATTTAATCCATAACATTTAGTGTCTGTTCATTCTTTATTTTAAATTACATAAAACAATACTGGAAAAAAATTAACCAATTATGAGTCACGGTCTGCTTTGTCCTGTTTACTCTCTATTGCTTTCTAATGACAAAACACCACAGGTATGATACAATATGTTAAAGACCCATAGAATGTCAATACACAAAAAGCGACAAACAAGCAAAGACAAGAATATCTGCACTTGTTTCCGTGGTTTGCTAACTAATAAAGCATTCATAAATAAAGGACATCTACAGGTTCTTTCGAGTCCAAATCGTCAAATAAAATTCTACCAGGATTTACACTGCTTGCCGACTACCGTCACTATCACAGGCGCTTAGCGTTATTTTTTCTTATCACAAAAATATAACCACCTTTATACGAACAGTATTTAAGCTCAAAATCCATTAAAACAATACAAACCGGGAACAGAGCAAACACGGACCTCCAAAAACATCAGAGGTTGGATCATGTGCCATGGAAGAGAGAGCATCCCCTGCCGACCCGTCACATCCGCCGTGTGCTGTCATGATCGGGAAATAACGGAAAAATTCGTCGACAATTCAGTATGTAAATAATGGCCTAACAATTAGTATGAAAAACGTCAGTCAGCATATGACTTAATGATAGACTGTGTTTGCCGACAAGATCATTGTACATGCATCGACCATAGAACTTGTTTCATATATATATTATACAATTCAAGTGCCTATGGTCACTATCCCTCAACCCTACTGCGATCTGGCACGATAATTCTGTAATTAGGAGATAGTGTACACAGTGGAATGTATATACAAGCAGACAGATAAACCACAATCATTAAAAAAAATTATAGACTTGAAATCTGCATGAGCGTTCTCTAAAGGTCTGTCTCGTTTTCATCAGATCTACTCATCTAACAAACAGGTACAAATGATCAGGTCAAGAGGAATTTTGCCCTCACCTATTACACTTCATATTTAGAGAATAGACATAGTTCCAGCTCTTCAGTTTAATTCTTAATGTACGACGAAGTTGTACCTCTTTACAAAATATAGAACATTTGGGGTTATATCTTATTGCTCTTTATTCTTGGGATAAAAAACGAAATTTACAAATTTTCATTCATATACAATAAGGAAAAACGTGAATAAAAATTCAATAACATTCAATATTTATTCTACAAATTGTAAATCAGTAAATAAAATGGTAGATAACATCTTCACAATCAGAGACTAAAAGTGGTCAGGCATCATTTGAAATAAAGTTCTACAGTAAATATATTTCACAATGTAAACATTAACATGCATATTTTGTATAATGTCATGAACAAAAACAAAATATTTTGTTACTGAATCTTTTTTTGGCAAAAAGTGATTACAAAAGCATTAAATAACACATTCAGTGTGGAAGCTTTACCAACATACTAACACGCACACATAAAAAAGTTAGTGTTTTAGTTTTTAAAAAAAATCTTTCAATTTCACGAATGCACAAAAGGAATGTAAATAAGAAAATTTGATGAGCCATTTCAGTAAACTTGTGGTCCACTAAAAAATAATGAATGAGGAACTGAACTCAAATAAACGTCATCTCAAAGGGGGAAAAATGTTAAAATGGTGTACATGTAAATTGAAATTACAGTTGCTTCTTCCTTTTAAACCCCCCCTCCCTTTTTTATAAACATTAAAAAAAAAAAACATACACAAGAAACAAAAAAAAAAACAAACACAAAAACCTCAGCTTTTCTCACCAAAATATTTTTGCCATAAAGTTTGCATGAGTACAAAGGAAATGATGCTGTCATGCTTTTCCAAAAAATGGGCCAGAAAACTGAAATAACTCAGAAATAGCAACACTCTCAAGGGGCTTTGATTTCAAGTATGTCATAGATGAGATTCTTTTACAAAATTCATTAGAAAATCATTATGAATTCTACAGATGTATAATATCAATGTTCATTACTTTCTATAGCAATTTAAAATCCATTAAACTTTGCCTCTCAAAATCTTCTTGGTGTGTCACCTATGTTGCAATTTCTTTTTCAGTGAATTTACACACCCATCTGCCCATAGGTTAAAACAGTGTTTAATCTAAGAAAATATAATAATGAAGGCCTTACTATGGCTGAATGAATTAGCATTGTACATTTTAATGCATGTTTGTGTTATGTGCCCTTGTTCTATTTGTATTTTTAATGCATAATTTTCTTGACAACCCATTCTAATAATGTGAACTGATTATCAAGGTATATAAATCAAACACAATATTTAAAGTTATATATAACTGGTATCCATCAAATAGATATATTCCTGACAAGAAATCTTTGCAAATATATTGACATTCTCCTTGGAAATATCACATTAAAGCATATACACCCCGAATTTCTCCTTTCTACTTACAGGACATGTACACCAGTAATGTACCAATAATTCAGCATTTTTACATTTTTTCTTTAAATATACAGACATGAAACTTTGGGGAGATATAAAATAAAGCTTTCGTGGTCAAAATCCTTATTTATGTGAAGGTATATAATGTATATATGTAATGTTATGAAAAAAAAATCTGAACCTTGAAGTACATGTACAAAAATAATAAATGTATACATGGCACAAATACTTACAAAATTTATAAAACCGATTTGAAATATATCAACAATTGTGCATGCCAAGAGTAAGTAAATAAAATTCATTGCTATATCAAAATTTGTAATTTTTTACACTATTACACATAAACCATGCATCCAAATCAAAACTTTTTTTGTTACTCACATATGCCAATATGTATTGCCAATTATATAAAAATGCTCAACTTTGATGAGGATAGTTCAGATTTGGAACAGACCAGCAGATGTAACTGTATTTCCCAAAACAGCATTACTTATCAGTTTATCAAATAGTTCTTCATAAAATTTCATTATTATATATTTATCAATTATACTATATTAAATTCAGATATTTTTTCCTCTACATATTTCTACTAAAACAAACAAGGAATTGAAGGTTTTGCCTAACATAACACAGTCAAATGATTAACAGAACACATTAAAGTTAAATTCTGCTATGAACTTAACGAATTTCATCATACAAGGGGTCCTTATCTGCCCCCATTAACTCTGTGTCACTGTCACTGTGAAGGGTGGACCTGGGACTCATGTACCCATCTTCGTCTACCTCAAACCCCTCCTGCCTGTTCATGTAAGTGGATTCCTTTGATTGTGAAGATAATGTGCTGGTCAGTTCCAATGTTCCCTCACGCAGATTCTCCAAACTGTTAGCATACACTGGGAGGGGCATCGGTTCTCTGTCCACTCCCAGGTTTGAAGGTTTGCTTGGATCCACCACTCGACTGGCTTCTACCAGACGATTTGTCTCCTTTGCTTTGTTTGCAGTACTCATATCTACATAATGGTTCTCTGTTGTGTCAGGAGGATTTTTGGTGTCAGGCGGTATAGCCACGTGAGTGAGGTTATTTAGCTTTTTGAGATCACTTTCCTCTGACATTCCTCCACAGCAGGCATTCTCCTGGTGATCCCCAGAATCAGACCTCGGTACCTGAATGTCTAACACTGTCCCGCTGAAGCAGTTGACACCATGATTCACTTGCTTGTTGACCTCCTCATACAGACGATTCATCTCGTTAGTGTCCATGTATACATTGCTAGCCACATTCCCATCCTGTCCACTATTGGACACTCGAGAGTAAGCAAGATTCTGGAACTGAACTGAGGGTTCTTCAAACTTTTTCTGCCTTCTCCTACAAATATATGTTTGTAATGTAAATGAGTTATTCCCCTTCCCATCACATTCACAAAAAAACAAGGTTCAACATGCAAAAAATAATCTATATCATAATACATGTGTATAGAGTCAGATCATTTTAAGTTGTCTCTAAATAGAATAAATAATTGATAGCTCCACAAGATGTTCAAACTGAAGTCTTTTGCAACTGACTCCTGTGTTACAACATATTTTAAAAGGCATTTAACATTTAAAGCTATACAGTACGTGAAATTTGGCATATATTTGACAACTTAATTTACCAATGAATGTTTGATGCAATAAAAAATGATTTTCTCAAAAAAAAAAAATTATCAATTTCAACTTGCTAATTAAGATATCACACACTCAGTGAGCAAGATAGTTAGCAAAGGTTTCAAGAACATTTATGGTATTAAATTATTTGTTTACAATACTGATGAACAAATGAAATGTGCTTGACACAACTTCCTATTAGGATGCAAGAAAACTTTCTTTTATTCTATTGATTCAAGAATCTCTTTTATGTAATCCATTTTTTGTTCACGATCAGGCATTATTTTGACCATATCAGTTTAAATATTTATATTTACCTTCTTAACAAAAGAGTTCCAATGGCACCTATCAAAATGAGAATAGCTCCTCCTACAATAATGCCTGCTAAAATTCCTGAAAACATATAAATTTCAAAATCTTAATACATTGAGTTTTTTTTTGTTTTTTTTTTTTTGTTTTTTTGTTTTACTGAAGTAAGAAGATCAATTAATAAAGATAGGTTTTGATCATAATTTAAAAAAAAAAAAAAAAAAAAAAAAAAAAATGACTCATTTATACACAATGTATATCAATCTCAGAATACTTATATCTTACCTGTGTCACTTCCAGTACAGTCTGATTCAGACTCAGAATACTTATATCGTACCTGTGTCACTTCCAGTACTGTATGATTCAGACTCAGAATACTTATATCTTACCTGTGTCACTTCCAGTACTGTCTGATTCAGACTCAGAATACTTATATCTTACCTGTGTCACTTCCAGTACTGTCTGATTCAGACTCAGAATACTTATATCTCACCTGTGTCACTTCCAGTACTGTCTGATTCGGACTCTCCGCCCACCACTGAGCTGACGGAACCCTCGCCTTGATTCAGCTTATCTGCAAGTACAATACTAGTGATTAGAACTTAAACAAAGTCTCTATGAAATAACAATTTCAGCAATAAAAAGAAACAGCAAATATGTTTCTTCATTCATATCATATGTACATATATTATAATGTAAGTAGGAAATTGTGTACAATACAAGCTTTCATAGAGACTCTTTCAATTCTTAAATACTTAAAATTCATGTTGAATCTCCCAAATCTACCAAAAACAAAAACTTTCTGTGTATGATATATTCATGGTTTTCAGTGATTTGTTTTCAGTTATTTTCATATTCATTCACTCAATTAACATTCTGGGGTTTTTTTTTGCAAGAAGCCTTTGAACTGTAATTAATGGATCATTAATATTGTATATATATAAGTCATCCTGGTCCATTTGTATGTGATTTTTGCTGCTAATCAAAATCTTTTCCTTATTTCTGAGGATTTCTTTGTTCATATAGTGTGCCTTATAGGAAAAACTGCTGTTTATATCATCAATGTAATCAAATATGAGCTCAAATTATTATCAGATTTAAACAAATCAATGAACACTGACTAATGAACTTTAAAATGGCACTGGTATTCTACAATTCTAAGTATAATGGACATGCTGTTAGTATCAAATCTTGATGGCAACATGACATTTCTTTTTACTGTTTTTAGGTTGGTACATGCTAGAAATGTCTTTAATGTGCATATTAATTAATTGAATCAATTTGACTAAACATATACAGTAAAACAAGGTATTATAGCAAACACGCTTATAATGAATTGACGCTACAGCGAAGTGATTTTCATTCCCAGTGACTTTATTATATATTTTAAACTTGACGGATTATAGCGAATTACACTTATGATGAAGCAACATCGTAAATCCCTGGCACTTCATTATAAGCGTGTTTTACTGTACGTGTATTGCAGGTAAGGATTTGCATTCCATACATAAAATCATTTCATTTCCAGAAAACTGCAAAAATATAATTCCGATGAGCAGTGGAATTCACCAGACTAGTAGTACTAGGGTATTAATACTAGTTGTAATTTTTCATATCGAGTGGACAGTTCTTTCATATATAATAAACAAGTTTATATTTTCTTTATGTGTGAGTCTCAGTGCCCCATTTTCACATTTTGTATGCAATACTATGCATTGCTATAATTAAAGAGGCTCAATGTTTATCCCCCCCCCCCCCACCTTCCCCTGTCAGCAGCAGAGGCTAAAATAAAAAAAAAAAAAGGAAATCATATAGAAGCTTGGTATTTGTTCATTTTTTTTTTTTTTCAATTTTAACCATAAGTCCTGCACTTTTTAAGCAGACTCAATGCAATATATGAATAATTTTGAACATGCACCAACTGCACATACATGTAACATGTGTAAATAATTTTCTTCCAGAACATACTGGGTAGAATTTTCCCCTGAAACAGATCTATTACAAACATACACATGTTAATGCAGCAGCCATGACCCTCTCTGCAGTGTTCCCCAACAGAGTGGGAGGGTCTTATCTTGAGGTTATCAGAGTCGCACTTAATTGATTGCAGCCCCTCCTCAAACAGTGTGGGAGTTTTATTAAGAAAAATCCAAAACATGTAATTTGATATACAGAGACTCTCCAAGGTCATTTAGAAAAGTACTGCACAATGCATGCAACACTTAACAAGTCTAAGTAATGTTTTATAAGGAACAGGAAAATGCCAATAAGTGTGGGCTAAAATAAAATACATGCATACTTAAATTCCATTAATTTTTAAATCTCCTCTGTGACATTCTTTCATGGTGCCCTAATGTACTAACGAAATTAAAATTAAACTGGGAGATGTCTTTATCAGTTTATGCTCTACATTTATAGGACATGTTAGAAAAGTTAACATTCAATCATCAAAAATACTTCAATCAGCATGATCAGAACCCAGAATCATCTATAGTCCAAGTTCTCATACTTGTTCTATAATTATCTGGAAATTCCAAAATTTAATCTAAAAAGAACGAGCTTCTTAGGCCTTCTTGATGCTTATCTTGATGCTTTAAACAGTTTTAAAGATAATGCCATATGATATTTTCTATTTTCAGAATACCATTATTCTTTATCAAGCTTTTACAAGTACAGTACTTGATACTCAACAAAAGGACTTATCTGCCACATGAGGACGGAAGAATCTGTATTTTCTCTAAGAAAATACTAAGTTATTTTAAAGTCCCAATAATTCTTCCTGATACACTCACACCTTTATATGCAGTTTTTCTTATTTACTGCAAAGCAGTCCTGATCATGTAATATATTATGTTTCACTAAACAGAGACCAAGTCTTTTGCTTGTTTGCTTAATATTTGTTTCTTTCTTTCAGATCTCTGACGACGACAAATAAATGTTGCTTCTCTGGGAGAAAAAAAAATAAATTCACACTCTGGCTGGGATAAAAAAAAATTGTATAACAATTAAATATTTACTGATTTAGGAAAACCATTGGTTAAAAAGAAGGTAGTCTTTCCAATTCCCCAAAAAACCAAACATGTACACTGTATACACTTAAAGATACAAAAAAAAAAAGCACACAAAATAACATGCAACAACAAAAAATGCTAATAGCTTCCAGTGCTCATGCAATATCAATAATATCAAAATATCCATGTATCTCTGAACTTGCATTCATGCAAAATATACCAAGTAATGTGTCTCAAAATTATAAATTTTCATTGAAGTATCAAATTTTGGGGGTAAATCAATTTTAAAGAGATACTTGAATTATTCAGCAAAAGCATTAATTCAGATTTTAGATATATGTACATGTACATGTATACTGTCCATTGGCAAATAATCAGTTATCACAATGGTTTTAATTTCACTATGTTCGTGATTCATCATTTTTCCGCGAAATTGAACACATAGTGAATGCTATCATTAGTTTTTAAAAATGTTTAAATGCTTAAATATGAAATTCAAATTAATTTCTTGCAGCGTGAAATCAAAACCATCGCGATTGGTACTTTTTGAGAAATCGTGAAATTTTAACACCGTGGAATTAAAACGACTTCCAGTATATTAAACAATTACCTGCAATAATGCCATTCTTCTCAAATTTAATATTTGTGTGGTCAAACTTAACTCCTAAGTCCACAGCCTGTACAGTCAAGTTAGATTTGTCCTCAACGGTTTTGGACATACTAACACTTGTAGTGGGACTAACAATTGTAGTACTAGTGCTGGTAGTACTAGTAGTGGTTGTACTAGGGATGGTTGTAGTGGTAGTACTAGTAGTAGTACTAGTTGAAGTACTTGTGGTAGTTGTTGGAGGCAGCTTCCCTAATATCAGAAAGTCAATTAGCAAAGAAAAATAGGGCTGTCATTGATGAATTCACAAAATTTACTGAATATCAGAAGAGCACTAGATGTACAATATGAACATTTTAGTGGCCATGCAATTCTTAGATAAAGAACAAGCCATTTAGAAATGAAGTTTCAATTCAGAATAATGATCAGAGTCTGAAATTTTCAATTCATGTAACCAGAGCAAGAAACTCACTCGCCAACTTCAAGAGTTCAGTTATTTGATTTTTCTCAATGACAAATTTAAAAAAAATAACAGTTCTCCAGGAAAAATCTCAATCGACATGTATTATAATTCATACAGTATCCTCTCCAATATACAGTATTAATTTCTCAAATGTCTATTTATGTGAGATTGAGTCAATCAATATTCAGGGTAAAGTGATACAGCATTAGTATTAGTTGTGCATGGTCTGGCAAATTAAATTACAATATACACATTGTAGTAAATAGCTTTATACAGGTATACAACTCAGAACAAGTGTAGCAGGAAAGTCAAGCATTACTACAGAAGTTACCAAGAGCTTCCCTAGCTGTTTAAGAACAACCAGCTTCACATGCATGTCTTGCAAGCCATGGGCTTCACATAGATTTTTATAATTATAAATATGAACAATGGGCTTCACATGGATTTTTATAATTATAAATATGAACAATGGGCTTCACATGCCTCAGATTCACATTATATGATCACACAGTGCAGGCTTCAGAATTAATATTAGGAATAGATGGGGAAAGTTGATCTTTTTTTCCTGTAATTCTCATCCAACTTCTTTTCAGGGGAAACAAAAGTTTTGATAGCTTTACACAGGGTGACACAGGAGTACTTTAGTATTAAATGAAAGTACATTACACCAGCTGTAGTTGAATTGTTCCTCGATCACCACTTTGGAAGTACAAAGTGATAAAATGATTCGGAAACCCTGAAGTGGTTACGATCTCCTAGATAATTCTATTGTATGAGGAACAAGTGTTTTAACTCTTGTTTAATAATAGTTTCAATACGTCACATCAAAACTTCAGTTCTATACAAAGAACACCAAGCTTTTTCAACATTCATTAATGTAAAAGACTACATTTCAAGCAAGTCTCTGTGTTAATTTTACATCTAACTTATTAAAACTACCGATACTTGGGCATGTTGAGATTGATAAAAACATTTTAAATTAAAAGCAAACCTTATATTAAAATCTGAATTTAATTTTTCTCAAATATTGAAAAAAAAAAAAAAAATTACCTTTGGTAATTTTTGTCTGAATTTTTTAGCAACCAGGAAAACTAATTTAATGATTAATAAAAAAACCTTTACATGTATATTAATTCATTTAATAATTAAAATCATCCAGTAAATTAAAGATTACCAAATAATGACCAAGTTGACAACCGGTTCAATGTGCATGTACATGTATTATTTAAGATATATTTCTTCAGTAAACATAATTGGTAAAACTTGGTTATAGCAAAGTCCTGAAGACTCATGCATTTACTTTGTTTTATCTGCAATTTGTTACATCCACATAACAAATTCATTAAAGTTTATATATATCGAATTTGCAATATGCATCTTTTTCCTCAAGTATCCGTGAATTTTCTTTATCCATGTTAGTACTAAACGAGTTTTACTGTACGACCTGGTATTAAAATTCTAAGAAATCAACCTACATGTATGTCATGATGTTTCCCCCTCCCTCCCCCAGAGAAATCTTGAGTATTTATTGTTAAAACCAAGCCAAGTGGAGAAGGAGTCACATGGGGTACTTGAACCACTCTTTGACACCAACAACTGTTAACTGCGGAATTCACTGAACTCTAGAATTTTAACCTGATGACAGAAAACCCTACTTAGGAACTTAAGTGATGATCTGCAGACTAACTATAACATGTATAAGTTTGTGAGTTAAGTTTTCTCAAGTGGTACTGCATAATTATAACACAGTTTCTATAAAATAAAAAGCTCTTCTGTTTACTGTCAGGTTTCAAAAAAAGTGTAGGGAAAATTTTAGATTCAAATGATTTCAATATTAGGCATGTGCAAGTAGGAGGATAAAATGTATGGCATTCAGGATCAGAGTGTTTCTTTTTTCATTGTTCCAGTTCACTGAATGTCCAAGGACAAATCTCTTTAAGATATTTGACACTTTCCTAACATTTGTATTGTAAGTGAGTAAAATAATTACAGATACAATATTGTTACACCATTATGACAACATCACTAGAAAACAGCCATAGTGAGATTTGTATATGAATCACCAATGGCTGTTTGCAGTTCCGAATCAATACTTGGACAAATAAGTTACACACAGGAGAAAACGCTGATGAACATGATGAAGTCAGAAGAATTGTGAAACTCCGCAAAATATGAGGCAATTGGTTTCTGAAATACTTCCAGAATATAATGGCATTATCATGCTCAATGTATACGTAGGCGTTTTTGGAGAAGCATAAAATTGATCAAGAACTCTTAATCATGAATCATAGAGAACTAAGAAGTTCTTGGACATTTGAAGTTAATCAACATGAAATTCTTTATTTTCCAAACTATTCATAGAAGTCAACATATTACTCTAATCCACTCAGCCCTGTCTACATTGTTTTAAATCTGAATAAGTCAACCTACTTACAAAAATTAAATTTGATAAAGATTATGTTTCTTCTGTTTTCCTATTTTTCCCCCCTATTACAATGTATTTTTCAAGTTAAGTAAATGGGGGGGGGGGGGGGGGGGAGGGGGTTGGTGATTAACAACAAAAACATCTTTTTAATAACATACTAAAATATATAAAATGTCTATTTTCATGAACAATTAATTTTAGTATGCATAATAATAAAGTTTTGAGTGCTTAGGAGATGACATTTACTTTTAACTTGAAACTAAAAGTTCTTTCAAATTGATTTTTAAAGACCCCCATCTCTTTCAAAATCTTTTCTCCCACAGCCGACTCTAAGGCCAAAAAAAATAATAGTCTTGTTTCCTGCTACCCGACCTACCCTATTTTTTTGCACCCGACCCTAAAGTTTTTTTTTTAAGTTTTGGAAGAAAAAAATTGGGAATTTCCGGAATTTCATCTTTCTGTCACCGTAATCGGTTTCCATGTTAACACAAAACAAGCATTTCATGAAATTCTTGTTTTAAATATGGACTTTCATAAAATACCACTTGAGTTGTGCATAAAAAGACAAGATCGAAATTTAATTTTAGAAGATAATATTGACCTGTGACATGTTCAATTTTATCTTGTATTAGTTCATATCCAAAACATAGGTAATCAAAGATTACGAAGCTCACCTCGACGAAGGTTATCTATAAGTAAGGCAAATCTCACATCATATTTTTTCTAGTTAGTGTACATCCCAAGATCAATATCTATACAAGTTTGGTTTAAGAAGGACTTATAATTACTTGGAAATAGACCTGCTCAAAAAACTTTAACCTGGTCACTCATCTAGAAAATCTAGGTCAGATTCAGCATCCGAAGCAAGTGTGTAGTGTACATCCCTAGATGCATCATCCATGCAAGTTTGGTCCAGGTAAGGCTTATAGTTACTTGGGAATGGACCTGCTCCAAAAACTTTAACCTGGTCACTCATCTGGAAAATCTAGGTCAGATCCAGCATCCGAAGCAAGTGTGGTAGTGTCCATCCCTATATGCATCATCCATGCAAGTTTGGTTCAGGTAGGGCTTATAGTTACTTGGGAAAGGATCTGCTCCAAAAACTTTAACCTGGTCACTCATCTGGAAAATCTAGGTCAGATTCAGCATCTGAAGCAAGTGTGGTAGTGTCCATCCCTAGATGCATCATCCATGCAAGTTTGGTCCAGGTAGGGCCTATAGTTACTTGGGAATGGACCTGCTCCAAAAACTTTAACCTGGTCACTCATCTGGAAAATCTAGGTTAGATTCAGCATCTGAAGCAAATGTGGTAGTGTCCATCCCTAGATGCATCATCCATGCAAGTTTGGTCCAGGTAGGGCTTATAGTTACTTGGGAATGGACCTGCTCCAAAAACTTTAACCTGGTCACTCATCTGGAAAAATCTAGGTCAGATCCAGCATCCGAAGCAAGTGTGGCAGTGTCCATTCTAGATGCATCATCTATGCAAGTTTGGTTCAGGTAGGGCGTATAGTTACTTGGGAATGGATCTGCTCCAAAAATCTTTAACCTGGTCACTCATCTGGAAAATCTAGGTCAGATTCAGCATCCGAAGCAAGTATGGTAGTGTCCATCCCTAGATGCATCATCCATGCAAATTTCGTTCAGGTAGGGCCTATAGTTACTTGGGAATGGATCTGCTCCAAAAACGTTAACCTGGTCACTCATCTGGAAAATCTAGATTAGATTCAGCATCCGAAGCAAGTGTGGTAGTGTCCATCCCTAGATGCATCATCCATGCAAGTTTGGTCCAGGTAGGGCTTATAGTTACTTGGGAATGGATCTGCTCCAAAAACTTTAACCTGGTCACTCATCTGGAAAATCTAGGTCAGATTCAGCACCCGAAGCAAGTGTGTAGTGTTCATCCCTAGATGCATCATCCATGCAAGTTTGGTCCAGGTAGGGCTTATAGTTACTTGGGAATGGACCTGCTCCAAAAACTTTAACCTGGTCACTCATCTGGAAAATCTAGGTCAGATCCAGCATTCGAAGCAAGTGTGGTAGTGTCCATCCCTAGATGCATCATCCATGCAAGTTTGGTTCAGGTAGGGCTTATAGTTACTTGGGAATGGATCTGCTCCAAAAACTTTAACCTGGTCACTCATCTGGAAAATCTAGGTCAGATCCAGCATCCGAAGCAAGTGTGGTAGTGTCCATCCCTAGATGCATCATCCATGCAAGTTTGGTCCAGGTAGGGCTTATAGTTACTTGGGAATGGACCTGCTCCAAAAACTTTAACCTGGTCACTCATCTGGAAAATCTAGGTCAGATCCAGCATCCGAAGCAAGTGTGGTAGTGTCCATCCCTAGATGCATCATCCATGCAAGTTTGGTCCAGGTAGGGCTTATAGTTACTTGGCAATGGATCTGCTCCAAAAACTTTAACCTGGTCACTCATCTGGAAAATCTAGGTCAGATCCAGCATCCGAAGCAAGTGTGGTAGTGTCCATCCCTAGATGCATCATCCATGCAAGTTTGGTTCAGGTAGGGCTTATAGTTACTTGGGAATGGATCTGCTCCAAAAACTTTAACCTGGTCACTCATCTGGAAAATCTAGGTCAGATCCAGCATCCGAAGCAAGTGTGGTAGTGTCCATCCCTAGATGCATCATCCATGCAAGTTTGGTCCAGGTAGGGCTTATAGTTACTTGGGAATGGACCTGCTCCAAAAACTTTAACCTGGTCACTCATCTGGAAAATCTAGGTCAGATCCAGCATCCGAAGCAAGTGTGGTAGTGTCCATCCCTAGATGCATCATCCATGCAAGTTTGGTTCAGGTAGGGCTTATAGTTACTTGGGAATGGATCTGCTCCAAAAACTTTAACCTGGTCACTCATCTGGAAAATCTAGGTCAGATCCAGCATCCGAAGCAAGTGTGGTAGTGTCCATCCCTAGATGCATCATCCATGCAAGTTTGGTCCAGGTAGGGCTTATAGTTACTTGGGAATGGACCTGCTCCAAAAACTTTAACCTGGTCACTCATCTGGAAAATCTAGGTCAGATCCAGCATCCGAAGCAAGTGTGGTAGTGTCCATCCCTAGATGCATCATCCATGCAAGTTTGGTCCAGGTAGGGCTTATAGTTACTTGGGAATGGATCTGCTCCAAAAACTTTAACCTGGTCACTCATCTGGAAAATCTAGGTCAGATCCAGCATCCGAAGCAAGTGTGGTAGTGTCCATCCCTAGATGCATCATCCATGCAAGTTTGGTCCAGGTAGGGCTTATAGTTACTTGGGAATGGATCTGCTCCAAAAACTTTAACCTGGTCACTCATCTGGAAAATCTAGGTCAGATCCAGCATCCGAAGCAAGTGTGGTAGTGTCCATCCCTAGATGCATCATCCATACAAGTTTGGTTCAGGTGGGGCGTATAGTTCCTTGGGAATGGACCTGCTCCAAAAACTTTAACCTGGTCACTCATCTGGAAAATCTAGGTCAGATCCAGCATCCGAAGCAAGTGTGGTAGTGTCCATTCTAGATGCATCATCCATGCAAGTTTGGTCCAGGTAGGGCTTATAGTAACTTGGGAATGGGACTTGCTCCTAAAACTTTAACTGGGACGCCGACGCTAACGCCGACGCCGACGCCAACGCCGGGGGTATAGCATAAGCTCATCTCGACTTCGTCGAGGTGAGCTAAAAATGCTGTCGGAAAAAAAAAAAATAAAAATATAAAATAAAATAATTTTCCTACCTACCTACCCTATTTTTTTCAGGCTGGTAGCAGGAAACAAGACTATTATTTTTTTTGGCCTAAGGTAATTTCAAGGATTTTTTTTTTTTTTTTTTTTTGCTAAATTGTTTTGATTTAGTCTACAAATATCTTAAACTTTGTAAAAACAGAACTTCTCCTTAATATTTATGAAAAATATAGTTAAAGCATGCATAACCCTCAGACTCTTTATCTCAAAACATCGACTGCTGAGAAGCAAAAACATAAGAGGGGTCAATATGAAGCCATGAGTACATAATACAGTTAATATGCTGGAATATTATTGAAGTCTAGCCATGAACCAAACTCAGAACCATATGCTGGACTAGAAACATATGTGTAAATTGTCATAGGATTGGGTGTATTGCAAGACCACAATGTATTGGGAATTCATAATGTTCATAACAACTTTAACTCTTTACCATATCAAATGTCAAGACAGAATAGGAACAAATGTCATTAAAAAGCAAAACTCAGAATACATGATTCCAGTTATATCAACAACCAAAGAATGTCACCTGCATAGAATTAAAAGGATAGGTTTAATTTTTTTTTTTTTTTTTAAATTCGATTCATTCTTGACTCTTTTTCTAAATCAGATTATAATACACTGTACCAGTATTCTAAACAAAACATTAATAAGAAACTTTAAAACTTGTTAAACGGTTCATTTCACGCTCCACCTATCCTAACCGCAATTTAAATTAGAAGATCACTGAAGCTATTAGCAATGCGCAACTTGTTACTCTAAAACACAGTTAGTGCCAAAGCAAAAACCAAGAAAGAAATGTGCCAAACACATACCACACACACAAAAAGAAAGAAAATTTAACTCTACTTACGGAACTGGCAGATGAATTTGTACGTGAAGAAAAATGACGAATCACAATGATAGTCATGCCATCTCCAGCCATCGCCCCGTCTCATCAAGGCACAGTCCTCTAAAGAAATGAAGCCCCCCGTCTTACTTGGCTGTCCAGAGGCCCAATAACCCCATGTCAGTCTCTCACCTGAAGACAAAAGAATTTAATTCCAACAGCAAATTTCTATGTATAAGATTCAATTTTCCACCAATATATTCATATGTCAAAATTGTTGTAGAAAAAACTCTATAGTTACTAGAACATAGTCTTAAGATATATTAACTAGAGGTACTACAAGTAAAATGATATCCCCCCCCCCCAAGCCAAGCAACCAACCCATGCAATTTTTTTTTAAAATTTGCTGCATCCAATATTTCCCTCTAACAAACTTGTGGATGAGACATTTCTGTCTGTGACCTTGAACTTTTCCAAATGACCCATATCAAGTTCATGTCATACCCTTTTTTATATGTTATTTTTCTGTGAAATATAAACATGAAAAACTTTCCATGTTTATCCATTATAAAGTTATTGACAACACACAAATTGTACACCTTTTTCTGCCAGTGACCTTAAACTTGCCGGAATGATCTTTAGTCAAGGTCATTACATGCCCTCAGGTCATACCTATATGTAATCTTTATGTCATGACAGGAATGAGCTTTCAATGTTTCTCCATTAGAAAGTTAAGGTCCTGACTCCTGACATGTTTGTATGGTAAAGTCAGACAGACCTATGGAAATTTTATGTTCATGTGCATTAATTGTTCTAACTTGTAAACATTGAAATGATTCATCATGTTCATAGTGTGTGTATTCATGTAGTACATGGCAAGTACATTGAAAATTATATGTCAACAAGTCAATGAAATGGTCAAGGCTATATCTTATCATGCAAAACACAAGCCTGGTAATAAACTGAAATACACATTTACGCTGCGTGTTCAGTTAGCTCCCATGCATGGCCAAGCCAAATTTTTTCACAGCAGTGTCACGGGATTTTTGTTCTCATAAAATAACTGTGCAAGCTGACATTCAGAACAAAACATTGTAGCAATGTTATTAGGGACAATTTCAGATAACTAATAACATTAAATGCACAAAACAATACTACATATCTATTTTTTTTTTAAATAACTTTAGCTTTGAATTGTACATTACCATTGGTCCACTGCCATCCGCGACCATGTCTGTCATGAGCCCCTATCCACACTCCATTATTTCTCCATCTTAGGACTGAGTTAAGGGTGTGAATGACAAAACTCATTTTATTCCAGTTCTTGATAGAGATCAGCTCACCACCCCAGGCCCAGCACTGACTATTGGCATCCACCCAGGTCTTTTCTGTGTTGACAAATGTATAGCACATCTCTCCATTTTCGGTTTTATATCCTCCAACACGATTAAAGACACTAGGACATCTGTCTAGAGAAGCTAAAGCCCCTACAACCAGAAAATGAATATCAATAACTGTGATTGCATGTACACAAATATAAATTGAAGTTCATAGGTATAGTTCTTCAAAAACAGAACTGTGGTACTTATTAAAACTTCTACAGGATGTCCGCAGTAAAGTGGCATGGATTTTGGGGGGGGGGGGGGGGGGGGGCTTTTTAGGCTTTTGAGAACTTCAAGTGTTCACATATACTTTATCAATGCTACTTCGTCAATTTCCCAAATATCAAGTGAAAAAGATGAAAAGCACAACTTTTATGTGTTAACTTAAAAAAGTCCTTTTGAGTATCTTTCTATTAATTAACTTAATTAACAATATAATAAGCATCACAAATCACAGGTCTTGCTTAATGAAAATACAATACTTAATGAAGATAATAAAAAAAAAAAGTAAAACTTCAGTATCATTTCAACAAACAGACGACCCTTTAAGGATACCTAACACTAACAAAAATGTGATGCATGGATTGATATATACTTTTTGACTGATTTTGGATGGAAATGACATACATAATCAATCCTTAAAATATCGAAAAATCGTAAGTTTTCTTTGGTGCTTAGACATGCAACTTTGTGTTGATTTCTATGTAATTCTATACAAAATTTTGCATTTATATTTGACATTGTTACAAAATTTTCCCATTTTACTTGGAAAGCATTAAAATAGGTTATCTATTTGAATATTAATTTATGAGAAATATTGCTGATTTCTGGAAAAAAAGTTTGTTTGTGTTATTTATCCTTAAGTTAACAAATACATGAACATTTTCTTGTGAATTTTCAAAATTTTGAACTTAACTTTAATCTTGTTAATCAATGTTAACAAACTTGTGTAATTACTTTTATATAGGCTATTCATTTCAGGGAACATTTTTAAAAAAAAATTGAAAATTATTAAAAAGGAGTTGAGTTACATTCATTTCAGAATTGAGGCGACTTTATAAAAAAAAATATAAAGTTAAATATTCGAAAGGAGTGGTGTTCTTTTAAAAGGCACGAAAACTTCCTTCACCACATGATACAAACATTTAATAATTAGACTTTCCACAATAATTTATATCTTATGTACATGGGACTTTTTAACTTAAATTGCGAGATGTTGCAGTTTGTTGATTGATTGATCACCTACAAATACAATATAAACACCATTTTCATCTTCATTACCTTTGATGATGATTAAGTATATTATACCTACCATAAGAAAGAGCTGTCCATAAGATAAGTGCTGAAACAAACATGGTGATTTTTGAAACACACACAACCTCTATCGGCAGTCGTCGCTATATATGTCGTTCACACCATCTCGTCCGATCTATTTACATTTTTTCAGTAGGCGTTCACAATGCCATCTATCCCAGTAAACAGGTAAAAGGGGTAGATAATCCATATTAGAAAAAATAAAACGTACACAAAATAGATTATTATTTATGCATTGATTTGAATCGGTCGAAAAAAAAAACAAATGATTTTTGTAAAACTTTAAAACAATAAGCATAATAAAATTACTAGATCTACAAACTTTTATTTATTTTTTTTTTATTTAATAATATTCGGAATCATAACGCGTTGCTTTTATATTCTAGAAACTCCTTTCATCTGGGGAGTAATTCTTGTAAAATCTTTCTGATCAATTATAAATAAATTAATAATTGATCAAAATTGGAATGCGTTAATTTTAAAAATAAGACAGTTTATAAAAATATATTTTTTTTAAATCTTTAACTTATTTTTTTTATTTGTGTAATCGATGAGGAATTATTTTAACAGAACAGAGAATAAATAACCCCTCCTTTCACCATGTGCATGTGTTTTTGTGTGGAAACCACTTAACCAGGAAAGTAATCGACATAAATTAACTGAAAACATGCCCAGAAGACCAAGAAAGAAGGAACTGGTGAATATTGATAACTATGACTCTGATGATGAGAGGAAATATTCCAGGGAAGCCGTTCCAGACCCCACCCAGGACGATTATTTCCTTGACAAAGTGGATAAAAGCCATGCTGAAAAAGAAAAAATACTACTGGAGAAAGGACTAAAAGATGACGAGCAATATTCATCAGACAGTGACGAGGAAGTTCTTGGCCTTGGGCTGTATGATGAGGAGGAGGATGATTTGCTTAGTGATGATGATATTCAAAACTACAAGAAACAACTGAGGAAACTCAAATTACACAAAATAAAAAATGAAAGGGACAGAGATAGTGAGGGTGTAGGAAAAGATCTCCCAGATCTGAAGGCATGGGGCAAGAAGAGGTCTAAGTACTATGGGGCAGATATAAGTGATGATGACATAGACCTGAGTGGCGAAGAAGAGGAAGAAGGAGCAGCAGTGCTAGAAGAGAGGGAGGCCATGAACTTGCAGAAAAAAATGGCAGCTGAGTTAGAACTTGCAGACTTTCATTTAGGTATGTTTGAGAAGAAAAAGAATGTTACTAATGAGGATGTTAGTACTGGGAAGATCAGCAAGGAATTGTCTGAACTCTCTGCTGAAGAAAAATTACAACTGTTGAAGAAAAAATCTCCAGAAATGTTACCTCTTATAAAAGATTTTGAATCAATGATAAAACGAGCTAAAGACGAGTTTCTTCCTCTATCAAAACTCACAGAAGATGGCAAAATCTCAAGAAATGCATCGGATTACATACAGTGTCAACTTCAACTTATTCTCAACTACTGCACAACTATTAGTTTCTACATGATGCTGAAGGCAAAACATTTACCAGTTCAGAACCATCCAGTCATTAAAAGACTTGTGCAGTACCAAAATTTGATGAAGCAGATGAAGCCAGCAGATGTTAAGTTAAATGCTGAGATAGAAGAAATTCTTAACAAAGTAAGAAATGGAGAGGAGATTATCCTAGAAAATAAGTCCCAACAACCTTCCACATTTATCAGGCCAAGAAGAAGGAGTATGAAGACTGTGAGGGAGAAGGCGATGGAGAGGAAGACGTCTGAGATGGTCTCTAGATCTGATGAAAGTGAAGAAGAGGAAGAGGATGTTCCCACCAAAAGACAAAAGATACAAAATCCACGCTATGAGACAGAAGATGAAAAAGCAGCTTTAGCCCATTATGAAATGATGAAAATGAGGCAAAATTCTGATTCCGAGAATGAAGAGGGAGAAGTACGGGAGGATGATAAAGAAGGAAAATATGAAGACGATGAAGATGGAGGGAAGAGAGCCATTACTTACCAGATCGAGAAAAACAAGGGCTTGACACCTAGCAAGAAAAAGGAGCTGAAAAACCCAAGGGTCAAGCATCGAATGAAATATCGCAAAGCTAAAATTAGGAGGAGGGGCCAGGTACGAGATGTTAGGACAGAGTCATCCCGTTACAGTGGAGAAATATCGGGAATTAGATCCGGGATCAAAAGAGGGATTAAAATGAAAGTGTAGACTTACAATAAAATGTGCATATATATTTTCCTTTGATCATGCATACATTCATATACGTTTGTGTGGGTTACTTTCTAGCATCCTTCAAGAAGGAAGTTTGAAGTTAAATTCCTGAAAGTTTCAAATAATACATGTACATTTATAAACATGATAAAGGGATAAAGCTTTTTGAATTATAATAATAATGTGAATGGAGCTAAAGTTTGAAACTTTAATCTCTATAAATTCTTATGTTCCAGTGCAGAGAAAAAAGGTGTACCCACCCTTATATATAGCATAAGAGGTATATTTATTATTCAGAGAAAGTTTTGATTTATTTTCATACATTTATTTAATTATACATACTAAGTACCCATAATATGATATAATCAGTACACATTATGACGTCATATTATGACATAATTGAAATGAAACAGGTCAACAAAAAAGCTTCTGCGCAAGGGATTAGAGCTGATTGCATATATGCATAGGGATTTCATTGTTCGTGACGTTCTGATGCTTTGCTTGTCAAGAATTTTAAATACTACGTCACATTGTCACCACATCAAAGGAAGTAACCGAGATTGCTTCTCTCCCACGCTAAAGTCGGTCAGCGGTAATACACATCGCCGACGTTTAACTGGGTTCATAAAAGGGGACAGACAGTCCAGTCGTCCTTTTATCGAATATTTCCTGCACAATTAGTATCTTAAATAAAGAAATAGAATACTTATAGGTAATTATTTAATTCTATAGCAAATTTGCACTTTTCAATCCGTCATGATGAAAAGTTGTGCATGGTTCATTGATTACTGAATTTTTTACCTATAAATCCGGATTATTCTCTGATAGTAGTATTTAATCCCAAGTCACTGCTGGAAAAATAGAATTAAATAAGTTTTGAGAGAGATATTCAAGAAGAGGTGGAGTTAATGTAATACAGGCTCGTAGGAAACAAATACACCACGGGGGGGGGGGGGGGGGGGGGGGAGGTGTTAAAAGGAAACAACGAACAGAAATTCATTGATCATGATAAGCATAAAAAGTTGCTACACCTCAGTATTCTTTATTATTTAGGGACACAACCTTACGAATAAGCTTTGTTATCTTTATATTGTACAAGGCTTAAAGAAAAGTCTTCTTTTCCGTATTTTTTCATAAACAAAACAATTAACGGGGTGTGCTTGATTTAGCATGGATCTAATGTACACGTACTTAAGAATGCATTTCTGCCGAGAAGGGAAATTGTATTAATAATTGTCAATATTTATAATTTTTTGTCAAAATGCTAAAAAAAAAATGTACATGTCCTTACCCTTATCTTTCCTTACAAACGCGCGTGCATTATCGTTTCTTTCTTTCTTTCCTTTTCTTTTTTTTTTTTTTTTTTTTTTTTGTTTTTTTTTTTCTTGTTTTTGTTTTTTTTTTGTTTTACGTATAAAGAAATGTTTCAGTATTTCACTCTATTATCATATGTAAAGTGTATCTGTTCTGGGATTTTCTGAGATTTATTTTTGATAGGGAATATTTTGGCAAGATTGTATGTCCCATGGTCCGCATATCGCAAGGACACAAATCAAAAAAAAAATCTCTAGGAGAAAATCGCTTTGAAAAAAATTGGCGCTTTAATTTTTTTAAATTATATAAATTTCAATTCACTTAATCAGTAGGCATAGTTTAAACTAATTATCCTTGCTCCTCCATGGCAGACAAATGCATGTTGTTTTGGGGGGGGGAGTGTGTTTTTATTATTATTATTTACAATACAATGCTTGACGTAAAAAATGGTACGCCAAAACATAATTTCACATTCATAATCATATAAACTTGAGAATGCAAAAAGTACATGTATAACCATATCGATCAGAGCACAATCCGATTTTACATAAATTTGCAAGCATCCCCCATTGGGAGATTCTAAAGAAAACAGGTACGATTTCAGCACCTGCGGGACAAATTCATCACATTTAAATACATTTATTTTAATGACTGCGATGACAGGCAAGTAATATCAGGATGCTAGCCCACTCCCGCGGCCTTTTTTTTCAAACATAGCATAATCTTTTTCTGTTGAAAATGCCACCCCCCCCCTTTTTTTTGCAGTGTAGTCATATTAGGGAAATGAATTTATGAAATTTGGTTTTGAAAAAGTTGGAACCTAATTTTTTGTATTAAATTTTGATTTGGAGGCCTGTTTCACCAACGCCCCCTTAACTTTTTTTTTTTTGGGGGGGGGGGGGGTTATAAATACACGTATACATGTAACACTTCCACGTTCTTGTGCCTAAAATAATTTCCGAATATATGATATTGGAACCCCTTCCCGGCCCAACGAATTATGAATTTTGAGTTCTGTGAAACTTATTTATGATGATTATTATGTATTATGCTTTTTGGGGGCTTGTCAAAATTCTCAAGGTTTTTTTTCTTGTTAGTTATACCCCAACCTCCTCTTTAAAATAAATATGATAAGTACCTGTAGTGAATTGGGGTTTGAAAAAAACGTAGAGCGTAGAAAAGAAGAGGGAAAAGTGAAAGAAAAACAAAAGATCTAGAGTATGGGGTAAAGAAGAGTGTTCTTGTTAAATCCTATATAATACATCTTGAGAAACCGATCTTATATAACGAATGTACTCTTTCAGTTTAATGTAACGGCCGATTAGAGGTGCACTTTCTAGTCTTCACTGAACAACTTGCAATTTGCCATTCAATATTAACCATACTATATGTGAATACAAAATGAATTTAAAGTATTGTTTTAATTAATACTTATACATGTAGTAAATTTATGCTCTTAAATAATGTAAACATAAACGGACTAGTCTAGAGAACAAGTATGAATTAATAAAGCTCATTATACAATAATTATTCGTCGTAATTACAGAATTTAAAAATGAACTTCAATCAATTAAGTTTGAACGTAAACGTATACTGTACGTGTACATAAATTGGCATATTCAAAATTTAGTGCAATCACTGGGTATAGAGCTGTTGGCGAAATCATGAATTAGTGCTATAAATGTCCGTGCTGTATATTGTATTTATAAATGATTTCTTAGCGGTATTCATGAATAAGCGCATCCTTGTCTGCACCAAAGCCGCTAAAATATGAAGCCTGCTTTTTTTAAGTACACATGCAGTTCTTCCCTCTTTATTAATATCTTTCTCAAATAGAGCTCCGTATGCTTAGATATTACTTACCGAGTCCCTTTTTCAGCAGAGATTTGTATGTTTAAAAAAAAAAGTTACAATCTCAGAATCTGGATTGATATGCATAAATTAAGTAATCAATGAATCACACACTACTTTTTATATGCAAATATAAAAAAATCGCTAAGGAATATATGTAACCACCTCACTTTCCATTCATAATGGACTTCATAAAAGATTGCATACAGAAGCTCTTATTTATAATTATTAAAGTATTTTTTATGGGTAATACTCAATAAAATGACAGCTGAACTGTCTTTCTACTTTAGTGAACCCGCTGTATGTTGCAGTTGACCGACTTTAGCATGGGAGAGACGCGCACCCGGTTACTTGCTTTGATGTGGTGACAACGTGACGTAGTATTTAAACTTCTCGACAAGCAAAGCATCAGAACGTCACGAACAGTGAAATCCCTATGCATACATGCAATCAGCTCTATCCTATTTAGAGCTGATTGCATATATGCATAGGGATTTCACTGTTCGTGACGTTCTGATGCTTTGCTTGTCGCGAAGTTTAAATACTACGTCACATTGTCACCACATCAAAGGAAGTAACCGAGTGCACATCTCTCCCACGCTAAAGTCGGTCAACGGTAATACACATCGCCGACGATTAACGGGTTCATAAAAGGGGACAGATAGTCCAGCCGTCCTTTCATCGAATATTTCCTGCACAATTAGTATCTTAAATAATGAAATAGAGTACTTATAGGTAATTATTTAATTCTATAACAAATTTGCACCTTTTCAATCTGTCATATGAAAAGTAGTGCACGATTCATTGATTACTGGATTTTACGTATCAATCCAGGTTATTCTTTGATTGTAGCATTTTATCCCAAATCACTGCTGAAAAGTAGAGTTAAATAAGTTTTGAGAGAGATATTGAAGAAGAGATGGAGTTAATATAATTAACTGGGCGTGCTTGATTTAGCATAGATCTAATGTACTGTAAGAATGCATAGAATAACGAACATTTCTGCCGAGAAGGGAAATTGTATTCATAATTGTCAATATTTATATATTTTTGTCAAAATGCTAAAAAAAAAAAAAAAAAAAAAAACAAACAAACAAACAAACAAAATAAATCATGTACATGTCCCTATCTTTCCTTACAAACGCGTGCATTATCGTTTCTTTCTCTTTTTTTTTCTTTTGACGTATAACGAAATGTTTTAGTACTTCACTCTATTATCATATGTAAAGTGTATCTGATCTGGGATTTTCTTGGATTTATTTTTGATAGGGAATATTTTGACAGGATTGAATGTCCCATGGTCTGCATATCATACTGACACAAATCAAAAATAAATTCTCGGGGGGGGGGGGGGGATCTTTTTGGGAAAAAAATGGCGCTTTAATTTTTTTGTAAATTACATAAATTTCAATTCAATTAATTAGTAGGCAAAGTTTAAACTAATTATCCTTGCTCTTTCACGGCAGACAGATGCATGTTTTTTGGGAGGGTGTGTGTGTATTTTTCTTTTTTTCTCTTTTTTTCTCTTTTTTTTTTTTTTTTTTTTTTTTTTTTTTTTTTTTTTTTTTTTGCTTGACGTAAAAAATGGTACACCAAAACTTAATTTCGCATTCCTATATAAACATGAGAATGCAAACAGTACATGTATAACGTTACCATATCAGAGCACAATCCGATTTTACATGAATTTGCAAGCATCCCCCATGGGGGAGGGGGTTATAAAGAAAACAGGTGCGATTTCTGCACATGCGGGACAAAATCATCACATTTAAATACATCTATCTTAATGACTAGGCGATGCAATTTTTTCTTAATGCGTGCTTTCAAACTTTTAATTTTTGCTTCAATTAACTAATTTGACGTTTTGAGAAAACTGCTTCCTGCATTCACATTTATCACCGATTCGTACCTGAAATGGAAAGTTTATCTTGTACATGTATTAACTAAATCAAACTATAAAAACCAAATGATATTATTTTACATTTCTGTTATGCTACATCAGTTAAGATTGATTATTTGAGAGCAAAAAGTGCAAGGGAAAAATATGCTCCGAATTCAATCCGATTGTTTGTTGTTGTTTTTTTTTGGGGGGTGGGATATACATCAAACAGGTAAGTAATATCAGGATGCTAGCCCACTCCCGCGGCCTTTTTTTCCCAAACAAAGCATAATCTTTTTCTGTTGAAAAAGTTCACTGCCCCCCCCCCCTTTGCAGTGTAGTCAAATCAGGGAAAAGAATTTATGAAATTTGGTTTTAAAAAAGTTGGAACCTACACTCTCCACCAAAATAGGATTTTCAAGTCTGGACAATCCCCCGTTTTTATGATTTTTTTCAAACACAATACTACGTGCCTGGCTGACTAAACGTCTTCATGTTCAATAAAACTTAAAAATTGAATCACTTCTTGTAATTGTAAATTGTATATTAGACTGTAGCAAAAATTCATTAACGCAATACACTTTTGTTACAGCAGTCTGTATAACTTTATACTCACTTTAGGATGAAGTACAAAGTTCGAATCAAATACAACAAAACCCATCAATGCGTGAAATATGGACCCGTTTAGAAATCGCTATTAAGGTTTGTATAGAACAAACCATAATGATAAACCTCTTTTTACTATAACAAATATACAGGGAAGTTGTTAAGCATCGAATTGAAAACCAACTATAGAAACTCGATGTAGATACTAGTAAATATTTTAATCATTTTTTTAAAGCAAGGTATAATCATAAAATCACTAGCGCGCTCCCTTGCGTCGTTTAACTCAGGAATTTGGCAAATTTCCCCTAAAACCTCTTCTTTAAAGGGTACTGTTGGACATCAGATCCTGGAAAAAATATATTATAATGCAATAAAACACGTACTTGCTACCAAAATTCATGCAATATACTAGTAATTTATGTTAAAATGATAATTGATTTGAAGTGTTCACCAAAATGGTAAAGAAGACATATTTAATGACTTTTTATACCTTAAACATAAATACAGGAAGCAAGGTGAGTTTGGGGGTATGCTCTTCCCTTCGATAATTTTGCCAAAATATACATGTACTTTAAATAGAAAACAAAGCTAATTTACAGCTGTGGTTTTTTTTGGGGGGGAGGGGGGAGGGGTGTCAAGGAATTTCTGTTCGGTGTTTCGTTGTATGAGCATCCCCCTCCCGTAAGTGCTTCCTACAGTCTGCAATTTATTAAAATTAACCAACTATTTACCTTTATCAGACTGAGTTTGGGTGCATGAGGCCTGTTGATTTATTCGAGGAAATTTTACTGGAAAAATTTCATTGCTTTCGAGTAAAGATCTGGCAGGATTTAAGGGGCGCTTCGACGTGTATACTTGACTACTACTGCCTCCTCTGTCGAAATTTTCAATAATTTGTTGAAAAGTTTTGCTGGCACCTTCAATGTCGTCTGGAACCTTTCGATTATAAAATTTTTCGAGCTTGGCCAAATCACAATTTACTAAACAGGATTTAGGAACAAATAGTCCATCCCTGGTTTGTAGGAGATATTTTTTCTTGTTGCTGTTTATTAAATGAGCACGCACACGTTGTGAAAACGAGTCATTTGCGAAAACTGCAGCCTTAGAAAGTGATACATATTCAGTATTTTTGGCTTTTAATTCCTTCTCCAGTTTCCGCAGTTGATCATCAGCTTCATCAATTAATTTTCGCTCATCTGGATGTTTCATAACGTCCCCGCATTGCTCAGCACTTTCGCATTTCTCTAATCGACACTGCCGGGCTGTGTGATCGAGTCGAAGATGACAATTCGAACACTGCTTTCCGCGCCCACCATTATTAAAGCTATTCTGATATTTTGATTTCAGGGTCTGAAGGTAGTCTTTAGCACTCAGGATTTTTGTGTTTATTGAGTCTATGTCTTCTTTCTTGTTGTCTAAAGAATGGTCTAATGGGGACTTGTAAGTAAATGTATCCAAAAAGGTTTTTTCATCATCTTCCTCTTTAAATTCAAAGTCGGTAGATATTGTTGAATTGGTATTCTCGCAACGATAACGCAGATCAAATGAATCATTCATACTGACGACACGTTCACTGGCCGCGGAAAAAGGGGTATCAAAATATTTTTCAGCAAAATCCAGACCCTTGCATGCCGGAGGATTTGTGCCTTCGCGACAACTGGATTGGGTTGAAATATCCGACTTTTTACCTTTGGTAAATGGCGAAATCCCTTCCACAACTCTGATGTTTGTTAAAGGTATACCTGATATCGCTTTTGAATTTCGAATGACACGAATAAACCGGTTGAAGTTGTAATCGCATAAATCGACATAATCATTTTGTTCGTCCTTATAACTCATTCTAAGCAATGGCATGCGACCCAGGTACTGTACATGTGCCTTGATTATGCCTTCTAAACCAACATAACCAATGGAGAGCAATTCTCGAACCTCCATACTAATAACTGTGCATCGATCTTCCCCGTAGTACTTGTAGTGAACTTTAATGTCGATCTCGTCATCACCGATCGGCCTTGACAACGCCATCTTCTTTTTCTTGTACTGTAGTCTGTAGACGAATGTCGCGTGTGACGTTGTTGAGAGAAAAAAGTAAAACCAATCATTTTTAAGCTTGTAAGATAACTTACCCGCCGATTTTGGAAGAGTCTATTGCATGAAAGAGGGGGAGGGGGTTTCAAGTCATTTATAAATGCATTAAATATTGCAACATCCATTTTTTTTAAATTTTTTTTTTTGGGGGGGGGAGGGGGTGTAGCATAAAACTTTGCATAAGCGGTGGGGATTTGGAGTAGGCTCAATACGATAGATATAGTCTATACACCCCTCTTGCTATATTCGATGTAAACGCGCGTTGACAAACATGGAGAAAAGAAATAGGTATGGTCGTTTTTATCTGAATGGGAAGTCATTATCCACTGATTTGAGAGGATTAATTGTCCAAGACATTTGTGATATGGGAGGTGATATTATAACCAAAAAAGTACCGAAAGGTGTGAAAAAGGAATTGGCAAAAAAGTACAAACTTGTTCCTGACACAATCACGAAAGTTTGGCTCAAGCACACTGAGGGTGAGCAACTAGGCAAGAAGTCAACGGGTCGACCAAAAATCCTAGCTAAAGAAGACATAGAATTTATATCGGCTTTGAAAACAGCACGTCCGAGTATGCAATTAGAGACTATTAGAGAGCAAGTAATTCAAAATTCAAACACAGTACAAAATGTGAGCACCTCGACCGTTTGTCGGACTTTGAAAAAGGACTTGTCCATGACTTTCAAAAAAATCACAAAATATGACAAAGATCGATTTACTCTGTATAACTTGATCTTCACTCAACAGTTCTTGAATTATATTCAACATAAGAATCCATATACTTTAAAATTTATGGATGAGATGGGAATAAGCCTTTCGAGCGGTAATCCCAACTATGGTCACTCAGTAAAGGGCACGCGTTGTGTTGAACTCACTAGGTACAAACGTCAAGCAAATTTAACTGTCAGCATCATAGTAGGTATTACTGGTGTTAAATATGTCAACATTATTGACGGGCCTTCAAATACTGCTGAATTTCTAAAGTTTGTAGGTGAAGCCGTTAATAGTTACACCGATGAGGGGGAAGCGGTATTTTCCCCTGGGGATTGTCTTGTTGTAGACAATGCCCCCATCCATCATAACGCATCGGAAAGAATCCTTCGCACTTATTTACCGACTCTGGGGATTGATTACCTTTTCTTACCGGCGTATTCTCCTGACATGAACCCCGCCGAGCAGTGCTTCAGGAAGGTAAAAACTTTACTAAAAAGTGACAGGTATATGGCACCAATGGAGAAAAGTCTGAAAGTGGCTGTATTTAAAGCATTTTCTGAAGTAAGCGCAGGAGACACACGGTCATTTTTTCATGCAACCGAAATTGTTAACTGTTAAGGAAAGATATGAATAAGTATCTTTGAATTCAAATAAATTCATATCATTAATTTACGACTTGTTGTTCCCCAAAAATATAATATTTACGTTAAAAAATTGAACTTTTTGGGAGAGGATGGGGGCTAAAGACTTGAAGTACAAAGGGGTCACCCCCCCCCCCCAACTTGTTCAGTTTTTAATTTGCTATGGATTTTAAATGGTAGTTTTTTTTTAATTACCCCTCCTTCTCGAGAAGTTCTTTCACTGTTAATTTTTTGTGTTAAATTTTTATTTGGAGGCCTGTTTCACCTACGCCCCCTTAACTTTTTTTTGCAGTATAATTAAATACATGTATAGCTCTTCCACGTTATTGTGCCTCAAGAATTGCCGAATATATGAGAGAATAAAGCCCTTCCTGGCCAAACAAATAAAAAATTTTGAGTTCTGTGAAACTTATTTATTTATGATGATTAGTACGAGTATTGTGCTATTTTTGGACTTGTTAAAATTTTCAAGTTTTTTTTTTTCTTGTTAGTTATACCCCAACATCCCGACCTCCTCTTTGAAATAAATATGATAAGTACCTGTAGTAAATGGGGGTTTGAAAAAACGTGGAGTGTAGAAGGGAAGAGAGAAAAACAGAGAAGAGTGTTCCTTGTTAAATCCTGTAAGATACATCTTGAGAAACCGCATCTTACATTACGAATGTACTCTTTCAGTCCAATTATATGTAACGGCCGATTAGAGGTACACTTTCTGGTCTTCACTGAAAGAACGACTTGCAATTTGCCATTCAGTATTAATCATAATATATGTGAATATATATAATATATGTGAATGAATTGAAAGTATTGTTTTACACCTAATTAATAGTAAATTTATGCTTTCAATGAAAATATAAATGGACTAGAGAATAAAGCTTGTTCCTAATTGCAGAATTTAAATGAACTTCTATCGATAAAGTTTGACGTAAACGTATATGAGCCCCCCCCCCCCCCCCCCCCCCCCGATTCCCTGTTTAATATCTTCCTCAAGCAGAGCTCTGTATGCGTAGATAGTACTTAATACTGAGTCCCTTTTTTAGCAGAAATTTGTAAAAAAAAAAATGCTACAATCTCAGAATGGTCTGGATTGATACGCATAAATTAAGTAATCAATGAATCATACACTACTTTTTAGGTGCAAATATAAAAAAAAGAGGAAATTCCCTAAGGAATATATAACCACCTCACTTTCCATTCATAATGGACTTAAAAAAGATTCCAAATAGAAGCTCTTATTTATAAGTATTAAAGGTATTTCTATCCCCTTTTGTGAACCCGCGGTATGTTGCAGTTGACCGACTTTAGCGTGGGAGAGACGTGCACTCGGTTACTTCCTTTGATGTGGTGACAATGTGACGTAGTATTTAAACTTCGCGACAAGCAAAGCATCAGAACGTCACGAACAGTGAAATCCCTATGCATATATGCAATCAGCTCTAATTTTACTTTAAAATTGTATAATGCTAGGAAGATTATTCTATAGATTAATAAAACTGCTGCACAAATCCTAGGCATTTTCTCATTTGATCGAAACTTGAGGAAACGTACTGGACAGTACATTTTTATCCTGATTCAACTTAAAACATTACAAATAGTAATTAAACAACTGAGTCGTTGATACTTGTGCAGCAATACCAGTAATCCTTGGAATATTTTGCTTCTAAATATACCTTGTTTCAGTTAAATAAATTAGCTCTGGCATGCTCTTGCGCTAAAAGTTTTTCTTTGATATCCTTTATAATTTTGTGTAGTAAAGAAATAATGACGTCATAATGTGTACTGGCTATATTATGTTGTGGGTACCAAGTGTGCATTAAACAATGAGTTTTAACTCTCTCTGTATAATAGGTATAGTCAAAGTTAAGAATTTTAATTAGTTTATTTGCATAGAAATGCCTATACCTAGCCTTAACTCGCGTGGTCCAGAATGTGTAAAAAAAATTTGGTAAAAATACCCTTGCTTATTACAACTTTGAACTCTCTTTGTCAAAGAGCAGATTTTTAAAGAAAATATGCATTTTCACTATGAATTCACAGCCCCACCTTAAAAGGACTAAAGGTACTGTGTGAGAGCTCACAAAACAATACCCCATCCCCCCATTGCAAATTTTTAAAGTGTCCATTTTAATTTTGTAAATATGACCTTGTGACCTACCACTACCACCACCAGGAGAACCTCACACCCTGGGACCTCAAATTTCATGTTTTTGGAAGATTTAGCACCATTTCATATCATGCAACTATAGTTTATCTGCTTATTAAACACGGGGTGAGAAGATTTTTGAAGAATTAATGCATTTCACTAAGATCATTAGAGCCCCACCCTTATATATACTCCAAGAACCCCTGACCCTGATGAGGCCATGAATTTCATAATTTTGGTAAAGGGATCAATGTGCTTATTACAACCATGGCAACAGTTCAACTGCTTGATGTCCAGAAGATAAAAGAAGATAGCAGTTATTGCGATGGTTTTATAAAGATTTTATACATTTTAACTATATGATGTATAGAGCTTCACCCTAACACTAGTACCACTAACCCTTGGACAATGAATTTCACAATTTTAGTAGAGGGCTCAAAGACTATTATAATAAATTTAATATACTAATAGTTTGATTGTTGATGTCTAAGATTAAAGAATATTTTGAAGATTGCATTTGATGTTATGCCCCACTCCTCAAGCCCCTCTGAGGCCAAGGTCCCAGGGGAGGGAGAGAGAGAGAAAGACCACAATATTCTCACATTTTGCTCCCTTCACCCATAGAAGCAGAATATACCAAATTGATTGAAATATGTTCAGCAGTTCCAGATAAGCTGAAGATGTTAAAATAATAACAAACAATGCATGTCACACAACAATGGGCAAGAATAGAAAGCATATGGACTCATGTGACACCTGAAATTCTTGTACTACTATTCTTTTACTCAATTTACCTATCATTTACATACATTTTGTACACTGAGTCATGATAAAATGACAATGGGGAATAAATTTTCTTAAAGCAGCCACAATATGATTAATCAAGACACAACCTTTCTCCAGATTTCCTGTCCCAGGGACCATGAATTTCACAATTCTGGAAGAGGCATCCTTGCTTAAAGCTTGCCATAAACATACACTTATTTTGTCTGCTTAATACCAAGGAGCAGTTAATATTTTCAAAGTATTATTGCATTTTTCACTATGATTAATAGAGCCCCTCCGTAACTCAAGAACCCCTGGCCCTGGGGTCATGAACTTCACTATTTTGGAAGAGGCACCCTTGCTCATTACTTCTATGCACTTAGTTTGTCTTACACACTCTGAAGAAGAAAAGATGTTCAAAGATCTAATGCATTTTCACTATATGATATGATCATTGGACCCTTCCCATGGAAAAATGAACTGCCTATATAGGCAGTTATTTAAAGCAGTACTTCAGCAGTTTTATGGATTTTAAGCAGTTTTCATGCAGTTTCAGGCAGTTTGATTTTTACTGTTGTTTCATAACTGCTAATGCCTGGGAGGTAAAGAATTTTCATAAGCAGTTTTCTAAACAGTAAGCAGTTTCCTTAGCAGTATGTTTAAGCTTTACCCCTACTGGGGGAAAGAACAGTTTTGTTAGCAGTATGTAAGCAGTTTCCTTAGCAGTAAATATTCAATTTGATTGGGTTCAAGATAAATTCAAATGTTGGGCTCAATGATCAATAAATATACACAACAGGAACCAAACAACTGACCGCCAAAATTGAATTTTGGCTGCCATGTTTTGTAGTTGGACAAAAGGAAATAGAGTTGTAATAGTGATAGTTTTATGCTGTTTTAATTATTATCATATTCAAATTAATTATACATTAATGAATATGAAACAAATGATTTTAAACTAAAAACTTCTATAAGAATGTGTTATAATCAACATTGACTAAAACTGATAATATGTATAAATGGATTAATATTAATAAAATAATTTATCAAATAAAGTTAACTAAGTCTCTAAATAAATTAATTGATCAGAAATAAAATAATCAAATAAATAAAACTTTGGATCCACCCATGGTACTACTTGTACACCTGTAACAAGGGTACATGAGTAGTATTCATCCTACTACAGTTATATCTAAGGGAGCAACCAGTCCTGAAAAATCTTACCAAAATAACTGCTTATGAACTGCTAGCGAACTGTGCAAAACTGCCTAACAACTGTTAAGGCTTAGAAAACTGCCTTATTCTATTCAAAGGTTTTTTGTGAGCCCAACATGTCATAAGCAGTGCAGAGAAGGTTTAGAAACTGCTTATAAACTGCTAAGATGGTTCAACTGTTAAGGTTAAGAAACTGCTAAATAACTGCCTTCCACTTTGCCATGGGCTTTCTAAACTCAGAACTGCTGACCAAGGGTGCACAATTTTGGAAGAAGCACTCTTGCTCATCATTACCATGCAGTAAGTTCGCCTGCTAAGTATCCAGGAGCAGAGTTATTCAAAGAATTCATGCATTCTCGCTCTAATGCCTCACCCTAACACAAGAACCCTGATCCTACAGTCATCAATTGGACAAAGGATGTATTCACTATTACAAAAGAATTGACCTATAGGAGAGAACAATTTCCCGGAAAAAAGTGACAAAAATCAATCTTTATTTGTTGTTTTCTATCGTATGTATGTCTAAAAAATTTGTATTTTAGAACTAAAATTTATTATTTACAACTTTACAATAAACCTCCAAAGTTGGCCGAAACACCATTTTGTCCGTTAAAGCGTTAATTTTTGCATGAATATTGGCCTAGAAGTCCTTCAGGGCAGGCCTGCCCCTAAATAAAATTGTGATATTTTGATCGGTTGGGATGTAAGGAATAATTTAAGATAGGATTTTTTTAGGGGCACCCCTGCCCTAGGGTCGAAATTCTCAAAAAACCTACAAAAAATAAGTAAACTTGATTTTGACAATCTGCTTCAAATTTATACCATTCAATCTTGTTGTCAGAATAGCTCATTTG